TTAGCTTCTTACTGAAAATATTTAGTTTATATGTTCATAATGCATCTCTTGTTTTCAAGAAGAGTTCTGCCAGCTGGTATCTCACTTAGTGTAAAGCAGAGTGTTCAGCAATGGTTGGTGAATATGTGCAAACTGCTATCAAGGAGGGGAAGGAGTTGGTGTTCTGGACTCTGATTGCTTGTCCAAAGCAGCAGCCAGCATCTTGTATTTGTTCATTTGCAAGGTTGGGCTTCTGTGTGCTGGGGTTGCAGCTGATAGCTTTAGTTAAGAACATCTCTCTGCTGCTACTTTCTGAAAGCTTCACATACTGATAGCATCAACACAGAATAAGTCTTTTGTTTTCTGACGTTTCAGCTTACATTTGGATCTGTGTTCTGAAGCCTCAGTACTTTGACCATGAGTTTTCTTTTGGTTTTAATTATTTCCTCTTGTTTTCCTGTGTCCCTGTCTTGCTTTTTCCGTTTTTGTAGTAAGATAAAGAGGATTTTAGTTTTCATAAGGATTTTTTTGGTGCAGTATTCCTGTGTTCTGTTTGTCTTCCCTGAGTAGCCTGTGGAGTATTTTTGATGAGCACAAAGGTATCTTTTGTTACTTTGTCCAAACCAAACTTAGCTTATCCTTCATTTTATTTTGCCTGGAAAGAAGTATGCAGACAATCCAGTGGCAGAGAATAATTACGAAATGTCTTTGACCTGCAAAAAGCACATTGGATGCTATTACAGTGTGAGTTTGCTGGGTTGCTGAAGGCTATCCTGTTGAGGGCAAGGTGAGACTCCTTACATTAAGATTTTTTTCCTTACTAACTGAGATTCTATGCAAGACATCAGTCCTTCTACTCTCATGAGTTAGATGGAAAATTGTATTGTGAACTTTACTGTTTTTTTGTGTGCATGATGCCAAAATATTTGAAAGTAAATGCAAGTAGTTTTTTGTTGCAAACCAGGGATATTTCCTTACTGCAAACTCCAGCCCTGAAGCTGGATACCATACAGTTGTTTTTGAGACAGACATTTACAAAGCTACTTGCACAGAACTCATTTGCGGAAGAATGCTCTCACATAACAGGCCCTTCTTTCTAATTACAGGCTGTGGGATTCTTAGGTACTAGAAATCCAACAGGGAAAGCATTTGTGATAGAATGAGGCGTAGATGTCTGTGGAGCTTTGATTCCACCAAAAAAAGAACTGAAAGACTAATAAACAACAGACTGTGTTTGATAATCAGGCTATAAAGCCTAGCATGCAGTGCTTATCCGTGAAGGAACAAATTTCTAGCAGTCTGGTGCTGTTGTATAAAACTGGATTTGAGCCAGACTTCCAGATTTAAAACCCCTTGAACTCCAGTAGGCCCGGACCAGTCCTTGGCTTAGGTTCATCTCAACCATTGCAAGCACAGAAAAGATGTTTGAACATTCACAGTAGCAACTGAAGGTTCAAAGGGAGGAAAATACATCCATGATCTATTGACTGTTTGCACATACCAGGGCTTTGTTACTACCAATTTGGGCATTTGTCCTCTTGATAGCTTTTAGAACATCTTTGGAAACACACTGCAACATAACACAAAGGGAACGTTCCAGGCATGTATCCACCTGCACTGTTTGAATTGGTTGCTAGCTGTTCTCTCCATTGGGAGAGCTTAGCTTTACTTGACTTCTCTAATTTTACCCCAATAATTAATCTCTTGCACATTCCCCTCAACTATGTTGCCCACTCTTACGGCCCTTTCCTGTTGTGGCAGAGGACATCAGCTTCCTGGGTTACATGATGGGTTCTTGCTCAGAAGCCAACTGGAGTATTACAAGTTTAAGCAGTACTGCCATATGAGTGTGGTCTCTGATGGATAATTTCAATAAATGGTCAGTTATATCCAGACTAACTCGATTTATGTGATAGTTTAATAAGCTTGTGGTCGTTTATTTGCTTTCACTTTTGCAGCAGAATAAACTGGTTTTCTCTAAATTGTGCAGCTGCTGCAAACAGTAATAAGATGGCTGTGTCAGACACTCATCCTGCTCTTGCTGTGTCTGAGGGTTGTCGCTGAAGCTGGAGAGGAGAGAAGTTTAATGTGAAAGAGAACTACATGCAATTACCTATTTATATGGAGCTCACTGGGGGATTCAGCTGCGGGTGGCAGTGAATTGCATTTCCCTTTTAAAATTGCTCCACTTAAACTAGACGAAGAAAAGGGGCAAAAAGTGCACATGTGCACTGTTCAGTTAAAGGAAGTTGTCAGAGCATCCTGAAATATTTCTTACAGGACTATAATTACCAACTTTTTTATCAGATGTGTGTTGTGCAGGTGTCCTGCAGAGAAACCTAAGTGAGTATTTATCACCAAGGAGGCAGCAGTAGTGTACAGGATCAGGAGCACACAGATTGGAATATCATATGGCTCTGTGACAGAGCTATCATCGCAGTGTATCATCTCCTTGAGCCAAGCTGCATATGTGGAATGAAGTTGTGATTTAAGTCAGTGTAGGACCCACTGTGTGAGCAGCTGCCGTGAGTTGTGGGTGATACAAAAGCAGGTAGAAGATGATTTTCTAACTCTGTGCTGGCAGAAGTGGAGTCCTGTTTGCAGAGTCGAGTGCAGAGCGACTGAGGAGCCCTGAGAGATGTGGCTGTGCCTTGAGACCAGGCCTTGTGTTGTTGCAGCTGCAGACTTCCACAGCCTTAGGAAGCTGTCACAGATATTTTGGTATAGCTCCAGCTTGTCCTGACTTCACTGTTATCTGTCTGCACTTCTTCAGGATTGCCTGGTAAAAGCTATATGCTGTAAACCGCAGTCTGAAAGTGCAGATAGGCTTTTGGAGCAGTTTGCATGAAGTTAAACTGAGAAAGGATAATGCTTTGTCAAAATGGTCATCATTGAACACACAAGCTCTGCAAACAGAGGGTTCTTAGCAGTGGCTAGTGTGTATGCAATGCTGTGGACAGGCAGAAATAATATTAGACGGTTCCTTTATCCCAAACCAGCATTTACCTGTGATATGTAGCCATGCTGGTCACAAACTCATATCAATCTTGTAGCAAGTTGTTGCTCTGTTTCCTTTCCCAGAGATGCTCTGCACACTTGATGTCCTCCGTATTGACATCTTGAAGCTCTGACAGAGCTGAGAGCTGTGTAACAACACGCTTAGGAGATGCCTCTTCTCCTAGGGATGCAGGTTGCTTTGAGCTGAACCAAAAGCTTTGTTCTTCATCTATTCAACTACATATTCTCCATGTTTTTAAGAGAATTTGGGCATTAGCTTCTAATGATATATGTCGCAAATTATCTATTCTTTATAGTATGTCAGTTGGCTATGTATTGTTACAGCACAAATGGCAGACTGTTGAAACAAGCTGCTGAGATAACTGTGTCATACCTATATACCAAACACTTCTCTGACTCATACCCCCACCCCCACGATTCCCTGCAGTGATGTTGTAAGCCAGTGCAAAATTTAGACCACTGTTTGTTATCTGATACATATTTCTAAGACACTGCCAAATAAAGTTGAGTTTAAAAACTATGATTTTCTTGTTGGGGGCTGCACTCTTGCCAAAGCAATTCATGTCAGCAGTTTTAAGTTTAGCAGCCACATAGTTCTGAAATGTATTTATAAATGATTTTGAGGAAAAAAGAAAATGATATATTCCCATTAGCTGTTTGGGTTACATTTATGTTACTGCTTTTTGATTATTGGTATCACATTTACAGATTTGTTTTAGAATGAAGAAAAAGCAAAGTGCACAGAAAACAGCTCTTCTTTTGTTTATGTGCATCACAAATTTAACGTTTTTAATGAGAAAAATACTTCTCGTGGCTTGCTTTGGCTTGCATCCTCACATGGACAGCACGTATTCTAATCTTTAAGCTACTTTGCGAGGACTTCATTTCCATTCTTGGATGGAGGTAAACACTCAGTTAAAATAATTCTGCAGTGCGTGTGGTTGGCAGTAGAATTATTTCAGAACTGAATTTTTGGACAGAGACTCCTAAGTAAACGTGATGAGGAAGACTTTGGCTGTATTCTGTATGATTTCTCCAGTCTAGCACAGGGCGTGTATCTTGCTATAAATTTGCCTATTGTTCTATCTTGGTAAAGGCTTTAAAGCTGGTGGCCACGATTTAGTTGTCTAGCAGCTGTTTCAGTGCGTTTTTCTTGCCCGCTGTAATTGTTGTGGCTTTATCCAGCCCTGAAGCATTGTGGAATTGGGACAGTGATTCATTTCTAGTCCATTTCTAGTCCATGTTAGTACTGTGCAAGATTACGTGTTCATCTGTTAATAATAGAGCTGTAGTCACAGAAGTCAGTTCTGTCTACTCTTTAGTGACATGCAGTAGGAAGCCAGGTGATGCTCAGACAGTGCTGCTGCTAATCTAAAGCTTTCTGTAGTAACCACTGCTTTCTGCATTGTTAGGAGAGTGCAAAGATTAAGCCGTGCTACTGCTCTGTTACCTTTGGTTTTGTTTTTCTAAGGTCCTCTTCCAAGTTACTGTAGGAGCATCACCCCAGCTCTGCCCCCATCTCTCCTTATTTCTATGTCTGTCCCTGAGGGGGAAACCTTGATCTTATGTATTCTTCACCATCATTACAGCCCTGCATCTCTGAGGTGCTGTTATGATGGGTGTTCCGGATAGACAAGGCGAAGCGACTGCCAGGGAAATGGTGCATGTTGCTTTCTCTGCAGTGCTGGGAAGGACTGGAGCAAGCAGATGAAGTCAAAAAGCTATTCTTGCTGTTGTCATCTTCTCAGTCTCCAGACATTTGACCCTGTCTTAACAGTTGTTTTCAGGCTAGATAGAAAGGAGAGAAAAAAAAATTATGACTCACATTCACTGAAACTGTTGGTTAAGCCAGCACATAACAGATGCGAGACAAGCTTTTTGGTAGGCTTTCCCCCCCAAATAGGCTAATGGCATTAAGTTTATGAGTGTATTGTCATCTTCTTTTGTAGTAAATGGGTTTAAATTTATGTACTAAATATCATTTCCTTTCCTGGCTTTTCTAGGACGAATCCTGGACTTGAAGACTGGAACAGTAAAGAAAGAGGGTCAGCAGTCCTCAATGAGAATGTGCATGGGATCAAGACGCTCTTTCATTTGCAGAATGAGGTATGTATCTACCTGGTACTTCTGTTGTGATATTCTCAGATTACAGACGTCAAATATTTTGTTACTCTCTCCTGACCTTGTTTGGAGACTGAAGCTGTAGTGACATACTCTGATTGAGCATTTCCAGAATGCTTACTTTTGTAACTCTAGTAAAACTGAAACTTGTTTTCCTTTATGATTAATGGCAAAGCAATATCTCGTTTGTGTTGCAGTTGGGTTTTTTTTTTTTCAATGTGGGATGTTGCATGCTTTCCCCAGAGACCCTCATGGCAGCTTCACCCCTGGCACGTAAGCAGTTGTCTCTTCAGATCAAATTATTTGAATCAGTACTTTGGGAACAGAGCTTTTGCAAGTTTAATGAAAGCCCAGCTCTGTGTTTTTCTTCAAGAAACCAATAATATTAAAAGAATTTTGAAGACAAACAGGAATTCAGCTGCATATTTGCCGTCTATGGAAGAATTAACCTAAGCCTGGTATGAATTAACTGGATGTCAGCTAGTTGATTCTAGATACATGAGTAATTGTTAAAGGGTTTTTATTTTGAAATTTTCCACCTTCTCCTGTGTTGCCTGGGCTTCTTGAGAGGTCTGCCTGCCCAATGGTTCTGACGTTTTCTGTGCAAACAGGATAACTGTGTGCTTAGAGGGGGAAGTACATAATTGTATGTACAGCCTATATCCAACATACGTGCTGAGAACAATCGATGCACAATTTGTTATGGAGTGAGACACACAGACCAAAATATTTACATGTTACAACGAAAGTGTGTGCTTCTGTTAATTGTGGTGAACGTTCTATGCATCCTGCAAGGAGGCTGAATATCTGGCACTTGAAAGGGGTTTATGTACCTCATACCTTCAGGATAAGATGTCAAAACTGTCCTCTTATATTAGCTGTCCTTGAACCATGCAAAGGCTTCCTGTGCTTTAGACTTCACAGCGATACTTGCAGGCCAGTGGCAATAATTTGAAGCCAGTAATGAGCGTTGGAGGATGCAGTAGGAATCTTGTATTTCAATGGAAGTGTTCATCAGACAAGGAGAACACGTCAAGATGAAAGGAAAAGGGCAATAATCTAGAGAGCTATTCTCACAGCAGCTTCTTTTCTTAGTTCTGTGCAGTACGTGAGGTTATGATCCGCAGAAGGAGCAGCTGTGTGTGTTCTGAATCCAGTACTGTGCACATATCCTCACACATAATGTTAACGGTGATTTTTTATATATTTTAGCTTGTTAGGAAACAAAATATGGTGGCTTCAGACAAAGATTTCTTTAGAGACATTCAGTCTGATGTTTGCTATTCAGTAAGCATCTTTTCTTCTCTAACAAGGAGACAGCAAAGAAAGTTGGGCCTACTGTCCTATTTACTGCTGTTGCCCAGCTTTTAAAACAACAATTAAAATGCAGTTATTTCTTCACGCTTCAATTCTGGAAAGTCCAGTGCATGAGGGTAATTTTAGACATTCCAACATCCCCATTGTTTTTAAATTCTGAATCTTACTTTAATTATTCATTCTTTCTCATTGGCAGTGACTGGTAAACATAAAAACAAAAGTTTAAAAAAGAAGCAAAAAAAAAATTGTTGGAAGAATGATGATCAAATAACGTGAACTTTCCTTGTGATTACTTCTTTTATTGCTATTGTTCTTTGTGTCAACCGAGAATGAACTGTTTTCATCTTTCAGGCTATTTACTGAGTTTCAAATGGATTGTAAAATTATGCTGTTAGGCATAGTTAGAAATACCACAAAACACACAAGAACAAATGTCTGTCCTGGCAAAGATCAGAGTGATGTCTAAAATTATGGCTGGTGTGCAGCAGTTATAATGCTCTGTCCAGGGAAGCTACCCATACACTGAGATCATTTTGTGTGGGTATGTGGGGGCCTCACTCGTCTAGTTTTCACCCTGTTTTATGGTATCTGGGAGTGTAACTATTTTGTAGCCACTCTTGGAATTCCTATTGCAAATAGCCCTTAGATTTGGAGGGTTTGAAAGGAATCTTTATCTATTGTTTTTTCATAAAATCAAGAAAATATTTGTACTGCACCCAAGAAGTTTAGGCTGCGAAAGCAGCAAGTTCTGAGAAAACATGTATCTGGGACTTCCTGTCAGAAATAAACATCCGTAATTGTCTGCCTACATGTACTAATAAGGATCTTAAAATGCATTTTCATCTCAGCTGTTTATATTCAAAACTTCAAATACTTTTTTAGGTGTGGAAATGCTCCTCTGGATCATTTACCTTTGAACAGAATAACCACCATGAGGAAAAGATACAGGTATTTAATTTACTGCAATGGTCAGTTGCTGTAAGCACCCTCATTTTTCCACTAGAGTAATGCTTAGTCAGCATACATCCTGGACAAACGTTCGTTAGCCTACAGTGCAAAGTAGCCCAGGGTCACAGGGAGGAGAACTTAGTACTCACTTGAGCTGTGGCAGTCATTAGGTCTTTTAGAAACCATGAGCAAGTGACTCAGCTATTTCCCTTAACCTGCTCCATCTCTGAAATAAGCTTCATTACTGTTTTCTGAGAAGTACTGTGGAAAGGAGGTGACACTTGAGTAGTGTTGTAATACAGAACTTAGGGTCATGGTAGGCTGTTTCAAACACAGCTTACAGATATTAGTGGATCACCGATAATAGTATAAAAAACCAAATCTATTCTGCATGTCAATTAACATTATTTGTGTGTATTTGTATTTGTGTGTTTCCTTTTCATTTAGGAATGGCCTGGGCCCGGTAAAAGAAGGTGAAGCACAATATGCTGTTGTCCATTGCACTGGCTACATCAAGGCTTGGCCACCAGCAGGTGTGTAACTTGTGGGCAGAGTGCAACGCACATCTTCGAGGACTTGGGAACCTGGATCAGGATCCCTTTACTGGTACAGAGCCAGGCTGAATTTCTGTAAGGGTACCTCCTTCTATTTGATCTTGATAAGCTTTTGATATCAAGAAATCAGCTGTTGTTACACACTCAGAATCTCCCAATTTTTTTTTTTACATGAAACCCTTCTCAACTTCATTGCCAAAAAGAGCTATAGAAGAGTTGTCAGTAATGTGGGATTGCAGCAACTGAAGCCAAAAGATTTCAGTCTGATAGCCAACATAAAAATGGCCTCATTTTTAGAAGGTAAACCCGAAGCTCAGATACATCTACAAAAGAACAACTTGTATTTAAGTACCAAGTTGCAAGAACCCGTGTACGAAAATGTGTAATGTCAATTTAGGTGCACAGATCTTCACTTCAGAGTAGTGGTTTTAGTGGAGAATGTTCAGCCATTGTGATAAGTTCTGTTTTGAGGCTGTTTTTCTGGGAAACAGGTCTTGATATTTTTCTTTGAACTGGAGTTTACCTATTGCTCAATATTGCATATGGGAATATTTGCATTTGAAAAATTCCAAGGGAAAGCAATGGAGCTCATCTAGACATCATCATGAACTGGGCAGGCTGACCTTGGCATTTGCAGTAGTTGAAGAGGACTGTTTCAACATAACAGCACCTGACATGAATCAAACCTTGAGTCGTCCTGCCCTTTTGCGGTTGTACACCACAATCATAAATCAATTTATTGAGGAATTTTGAATGCTAAAAGTGATTTGTACCGTGTCTGTATGCTGGTGTGCAGATACCAGAATATGGGTGTAAACCTCGTGTTTATCTCCTGCTGAATTGTGGTTTTGAGTTATATAATCAGTTACCCATGTTTTTCATCTCTCAAACAGTACACACATACATACAGACATATTTTCAATAGTACAAAACTGAAGCTTTTGAAATTTTCTGTAACTTTTGCATCCAAGAACGGGACTAATTTGTATCACAAGTGACTTGTGCTTCTGAAACAGTGCAGGCAGTGAAAACCTCCCCTCTTGTTCCTGATAAGGGTTTAATATATTTCATTGTGCTGTAGAAAACAAAATGTTTCAACTTCATTGCAATCACAAAAGAGCGAACAGAACAATGTGTGTAAATTGCTCTACAAAAATGAAACTGTTTCTGTTGGTAATTCCAAGTGTAAGAACGTTTAGCTATGATACATGAGATGTCTCTTCAGAAAGGTGTGGGTGAAATTAGATCTTTGCAGCTCCTTGCTTAACTCACGTGAAGGCCTGCTGCATGGTATCAGCTCCTTAGAGACCTGATGCTTCTGGGGTACGTGGTGTTTTGCTCTACTCCAGCTCCCAGAGTCACGCTGCTGTCCCATGCTTAGCAAGTTCTCCAATCCAATCCTCAGTTTTCATTAATTTATCTTAAGATTATGGCAGTGTATTCTTCACATCAATCTTCTTGCCTTGTGTCTATGTCTCTCCAATCTTCTGGGGCTTTCCAGAAGGAAGTCATCTCCTGTCAGCCCTGACTTTGCCCAGATAAATCAGGCTTCTTCTAATCGCTGCTCTCACTGTGCATTTTCTTTTCTTTATCCATCTGTTTTAACTTCACTTTTCAAAATGTAGATTGTCAGAACTATAAACACTTGTTCCAGGTGATACTGTAGTGATGTATCATGAAAATGATACTTCCTGTCCTGAGAGGCAGAATATGATATAATCTGTTTCTTTTCTGTGTGATGGCATCCTAAACCACCTAGTATATATCAGACTGCCTTTTCCTCAGTTTTTGTCAACTGAAAGTCTTTGTAACAAAAATAGCTTTGAATCTTCTGATTCACAATGTGAAGTTTCATCCCATTTCTAATGCTGTAGTTTGTGGCAGTTATTAGTCCCCAAGTGCATGCTTATGCATTTAGTAATGTTGGATTTCATCCCATTTCTATTACTGCACTCCTCAAAATCACATGGTGATCCCCATATGATATCCCACTGCTCCTCCACAAAGTTAGTGCCTCCAAACCATAGCACAGTCCAAAGGGATGGTTTAGCTTTTAAGAGCCTTATGTGGAATTTCAGTGGTCTTTTATATTAACATCCAAATTGTTAGTCATCACAGTCATGCCTGTGTCTTTTTCGGGGCATGTAGTACAGAATTGAGACATCTTTGAGTGTTTATTTGCCCTCACACCCCCAGAAGTCTTCCCCATTTTGTGTTGGTGATTTTCTTATAACCATTGTATTTGGGAGCTGAATGAGAATATCCAAAGGCTGAATTGGCACCCAGTATGTTTGGGAAAATCAGTGGCAACAATACATTTGTTCCCGTTTCCAGTGGTAATTCAACCATAATGTGCAAAGCAAATGAAATAACTGCACAAGTAATTTAATTTGCTAAAGCTTTTCTTACTCTGTAATAAAATCACTTTTGTTCAAGCCAGGTAGCAAGTAGCAAGCTGCTGGTCTTTGCATCATCTCTGCGTTCTTGGGCATAAATGGGTTTGTGCCGTATCTCAGCTGGTTTATAAATTAACCATGGAAAAGATCATTTTCATTTTTTTTTCAGTTGCCAAGTTTATGCTCCAGCATAAACCCTTTATCTTGTTCTTTCAGGGCATGCAGTGTGACACGTGCATTATGCAACTGATATACAACACATATCACATACTTTCATGAACACAGTAGAAAATGTTTTGCAAATACACCTAATCTGCACTTAATTTAACACCAGTTTTTTTCTCTTTCTGAGCTATATTCCATTGTCCATTGTCAATGTGCCTATACTCTGTGTATCACAGTGAGTACTGATGCAGAAACATCAAGACAAGAACTGCCCTCTGATCACTGTTAGTGTTACCTACCCCACATTTTTCCCTTTTTTCTCACCTTTGTGGAGCAGCAAGACTCATTAACTAGCAAGCTGCCTCTTTTTCAGTATGTGAGAGGTGGAAGGAAAAAACATCATGCCTCATCCTCCACCCAGAAGAGATCAGGGAGCATGCAGGACCCATAGGCAGCATCTACCTTAGGCATTTCATAGCCAAGCAGACCAAGGAATGCTGCAGCCCGTGCTCTCTCTCTTCGTCTTCTCCTAGAAGAGGAGCTATTTGTCTGTTGTGAGAGACTTGCTTCTGGGTGAGTGAGCCACAGAGAGAAGACAGAACTGTTTGGAGCATGGGTCTCTTCAGGCTGGGTACATTAATGGTCTCGTCATCGTCCTTTATTCTGCTTGTGACAGAAGGGTAAAGCAAAATTCACATGCAAAACCCCCAGTAATATAACGTATTTCCTCATAAATTACATCTTGACCTTAGGTGGACTTAGGTGCATGAAGTAAGCTTTGTGTGGAAGTCACATTAAAAAAAAATAGTAGCCAAATATCCCAGATTCCAACTGATGTGTTGTTAATTTCTTATGTGTAGTGTGTATTAGAATAAGCAATGGCAGTGCAGTGTTGGATTATTTTGAAGGAGGTTAAAGGATCTCTTGTTTGAAACTGGCTGCATCCCAACTCCAGCCTTTGTCCCTCTGTTTCCCAAGCTAGAAGGCTGTGTGATTCTTAGCTCAGGGAATGCTTCAAGCTCCTAACCAGTCATAAAGCTGAGAAATGCTAACCTTTTCCTGGTCGTTCAGTTTTAAACTTAAGCAAGCACTTAATTTTCTTCATTTTTGTTCCTCCAGAGCATCTTATTCCTGAAAGGAAATGAACCTTATGTGGTCCATATGATATTTTCCTAACAGTTTATTTTCATGCTGTAACAATTGATGGAAAATATTTGGTGGAGAGAAAAGATACAGTCTGTTGAGTTGTTGCTACTTTTCTGTAAATCAAAAACATGACCCGCAGGAAGAAAACATTGTGCAGAAAAGGCTTAGATAGATCCTTGTTACAAAAACTTCAAATAAAAAGTCCCAGAATAGTATTGAATTCAAATAATGTCGAAATCTTTTTTTTTCTTCATTCGTTTTTTATCTTAAAAAAGAAACATTTTGCTCTTCCAAGTCAGACTTACGGTAACGTCTTAACCACAGCATGCCAAAGCTGTTAGGTTATTCTACAGTTTTGGCAGAATCTGGACGTTTATGCAGAAGTACACCCTCTTCCAATACAAAACAGAATACTTGCTTGAATATTCTTTGCACTTTCGTCATTTTTAAAGTTCTGTTTAAAGAAAGAAAATAATTCAGCTTTTGGGATTTTTCACAAGAATTCTCTCTGGTATATGATAAGTATCCACACTTTCCAGTGTTGTCTATAGAAAATAATCTTATACAGTGCAGTTCCATGCATGGATGTGTAACTGTAGCTGTAATGATGGAGATAGGCATTTACAGAGGATTGCTAGTGATCATGGAGCACTTATTATGTCCTTTTAAATACTCAGAAGTAATTTATTTCTGACTGTAGTAAAGTGAAACCACAAATCCACTGACACAGTTCTGTGTCTCAAAGAAAGCATGGGGCAGAAGGATGGAGAAAGAAGGCAGAAAATGAAGTTATTCTGTCATTAGTGCCAATTGGAAGCTCAGTGGGAAAAAGAAAGAGTTCCTTATGTCCACACAAACACATGCCATTACCCTGTGGGAAACTGTTTGCTGGCATACAGGACACTTGGAAATTAAATATAACCTCTGACGGCACAGTGTTCTATTTGTGATGCTCAGTTGCAGGCTTAGCTTTTCAAAATGTTGATATAAACTTGAACAAGCATAGCACTATATTTATTATTCAAGAGAAGCGTGTATTTGGTGTTGAGAAATACAGCCTCTGTCAGAGTTGCATATAAAGAATGTGAATAACTGCTGTATGTTTATTTTGTTGATACCTCCAAAAGGTCAGTGTGGTGGTTGCTGTCCTGCATGCTTTTGAAGCTTTTTCTGGAGATTCTGATGGTGCTTGGTGAACGTAAGGAGCAACATTATGTTGTAAGAGCTAGAGAAACTGGTAGTAAGTGAGAAGAGCGTGTATGTAACTGTCCTCGTTGGAATATGCTCAGTAAGAAGCTTACTAAAGCAAAAGTGAATTTCTTCTAGAAAGCATCTTTGTACAGAGGCACACACACAGTTGAATCTTCATAATTATCAGCAGCAGAGTAAAGAAAGTAGTTTCTGCCTGTGGAGTGCTATCAATAGTAGCACCTGCACTACAAACAAGTCAACAATCGTTTTGGCATATCTTTGCCATAGGCATTTTTAGGGCAGGGATAGTAATTCACTGGGTCATGTATCAATGAATTCCAGGCAGATTGGTTTTTTTTAATTCATAGTGTGGGATAAATGTGTTACATGGACCAAATGTAATCCATCCTGCAAAAAGAAAAAATGAAAAAAACAACGAAAGGTGAAATTTAGATCAACCATTTCCTTTGTCAGTGCTGGAGTTCCATCAGAAATGGTGTTGCTTAGCTAGGTTTAATTTTGGAGATTGTTTATGTTGCTTTCAGTTTATTTGGGCAGTAGTGAGCCTGTACAGAGTTCCTAAAAAGGAAAGTGTTGTTGAAAGCTGAAGAAAAATGATTATGCAAAGTGGAAGCCATCCAGCTGAGTATCTTTGCTGTCCTTTGCAATAAATACACTGGGTGCAGCTAAAGAAATGATTGAAAAAACCAAGTCAGGAAAACCAAGTTAGGAAAATTGACCTCTCCAAATGGAAAATTCCATTTAAGAGAAGACCTTTAGGTTAAGATTATCTTAATCTTATCAGATTATCAGAATGCCTAAAATCGTTTCCTTAAAAATGGAAACTGTGAAAGGGTCCTGTGTTGAAGAAGCCCACTTCTCAGAAGCAAAAAGCAGCCACCCAGAAAACCCTTGCAGGGGGGGAGGACCTAGAGGCTATCTGTGCTATCAGTGAAGTCAGGGCATGAGTCTGTGCTTGCTTCAAGCTCTAACTTTTAAGTTAATCCTTGGGGCTGGCCATTGGTCCTGCAGGTTTGCCCCTGGTGCAGGGTTCAGGCCCGAGGCACCTCCCAGAGGGATGCAGTCCCTGCTGCAGGCTTCCAGCCAGTGTCACAGCCTTCTCCAGTTCGCTTTCTTTGTGTGGGTTGTTTTTGTACTCTGCTGCAGTCCTTTCACATCAAAGTCAGCGTCCTCATGCTCCTTCCTAAACCACTGCATCATTTCATTTGTCCTGCTCTTGGTTTACCCCTTTGTTCACAGCTTTTTTTAAGATGAAACACTGCTGCATTCTCAGTTGTCCACTTTATATGTATTTAAAATGAAAATTGGTCGTGTGGAGGAGTCTGATTTTAGTTTCAGTAGCTCAGCTTTCCCTGCCCACCACATGTGTGTGAGCAGATAGCCACATGTCTGCCAAAATTTTGTCTGAAGTAGACACAGTTTTCAGTTGATGTTCTGTGCTGCTTTTTCAGGGTAATCTTCTCTTTTTTCTTAAGAGGCTGCCAAGTTTAATTCCTTTGCAGAGTTGGGCTGTCACTAGCTAATTGCTAGGTCTTTTGTTGAAGAAATAACTCTGTAAACACAGTAAGGAAGAAAAAATAATTCTGCAGTATATCTCTGAACTGCAGCTTTGTGTCAGGTTTATGCTCTCAGATACTTAAATGACTGTCTCAGAACATGGCACTTGTCTGTGTTTGGAGTCTATTCTGCAGTTTGCCTAATGTGTAAAGAAAAGAGAAGGAATAGTGCTGTGTGAAACGTTAGGATGTTGCTTCATGATTTAACAGATTGAAGGGTTTGAAGCTGCAGATTGCCCTAATTTCAAAGGTGTTCTATATCCAGATCAGGTAAAGAGCTTCACGTTGTGGTTCCATAGAGGGACCTATATTGTATAGCACAATGGGAAGTGATAAATACCTTATTGTCAGATAAGATTGAATTATTTTGGTACAAAATCCTTAATTCAAAGACTACTTCAATTCGTTTACCAGCAGTTACAGACATTTTTCAGAGGTGTCATTTTAAAAAGTAGTATGCTCCATCATAGTCCAGAGATTGACCTATGTGAAGAACTATACACCTTGAGAATAAAATGGTGCTTGTTTCATAATTGGCTTTGCAATTAATTCCATTGATGCCTAAAGTGCATCTTAAATGATTCACTGCCTGTTGTGACTGAAATCCTTGAAAAGCCTTGTGAAAGAGCTCACAAAAAAAATAAGTCAGCAGTGTCACTATTGGAAGATGTTTTGCAAATCCTCTGTAGCAAACTGGTATCTCAAAACTTAAGTTGGGAAATAGCCTTACTAAGGCTTAGCCAACCTGTGAGTAAACAGAGCTAGTCTCAGTGTTCCCATTTGTGAAACACTGAGATGGAAAACAGCACACATGTATGTCCTGAAATTTTTCCTGTGTTTATAGTAGTTACTCCTGTTACACAACTGAAACATGCACTGTTAGCAATCCGCATTTTTTCGGTCTTTCAACGTAATAACCCATGTTTAGTGTATGATAGAAAAAAGTAAAACCGTCTGTTAAATGTTAGCATGAAGCTCGTGTGCCTTGTTTTTAAGGCTGATAATAGATTATTCGCAAAGAAAACTGAGCATAGTGTGCAGTGACTGAGCATAGTGAAGTGGCAACGTGATTCCAGTAATGTGCTGTAGAGCAGTACTCATGGAAATGTTGTTTATCTCAGTGTCACGGAGTTTCTGTACTGCTTCAATACTTGCTCTGTATGCATTTAAAGTCTGTAGGATCAAGTACGGCTTTGAGGGAGCATCTGATCTGAACCAAGTGATAACGGCTGAATCATAGAGAAGACGATCGTGTTATTTTGTATGATGTAGAGCATCTAGAATAGTATGGAACCAGGCCAGCAGCTTCTCTGCTCATCCTCATTTCCTAACTATAATGGTATTTGTTGTTGTTTGCCTTAGGAATGACTATACCAGAAGAAGATGCTGATGTGGGACAAGGTAGTAAATACTGCCTCGTGGCAATAGGAAGGCTTCAGGTAATGCCAGTCTTTTCTTACGTGAACTACTTCAGAAAACATAATCAGTGTTGTGGTTTGGTACCTCCGAAAATAACTGGCTTGATGTCTGATTGTGCAGTCAGTGGCTTGTTTAGAACATGTTGACAGAACAAATTGAAAATTTGGTTTCAGTATTTATATGTGTGTCTCACCCAACAACTGCAACAAAGATGCTCCTGGAATGAGAGTGCATCCCAACCTGATGCTCTGCAGAGTGCATGGGGATGGGATATTCTGGATGGTAAGGAGCTTGGGAGCGCAGGTGCTGTAATGGCTAAAGTGGTTCCCAAAGACAGTGGTGTGCTCCCTGTTCTTCTTTGATCTGTTCTCTCTTGCTGGCTAATCAATTACTTGAAGAGAGATGATTGCAGGAGTTGGTTTGAAAGTGATAAAGATAAAGCAGTCAAGAGGCGCTTCACAGATGATAGCTTTTTTTCCTCAGCGTGTCATTTTATGCATTCATATGCATTCATGATGCCAGCCAAGGGAACTGTGAGAACAAAATTTTACTTTTTTATCCAGACTGTTGCAATTGATGTATTATGTTTTTTTTTTGTCTGTTGCTGTACGAGTTCTGAGCTGGAGTTAGAGCAGTTGCAGTGGATCTCTTTCATCACAGCAGGAAAGCGAGCTTTTATCTTAGTAGTATGGGGATTCTGCCAGGAGTTTATGTGTTAAAGCTTCTTACGTGATCTCTTGTTGGCCTGCACTCATTGCCATCTGCTATGATGGCATCACTCCTTCTTAGAAGGTAGAATGACCCTTTCTTAGAGCACAGATACCAAACCTGTCTTATTCAGGGTGACCAGCTGCACATTGCTGGAAGAATTAGCACTTCTGCAGTGTCTCCATTGTGATGGAAGACTTAGGAAAGTATTGCATGATGTTTTCTAAGTTAATCATACTTTCATAATCAGGGGTAATATATTCCACTAATGGAGAGGAGTAAGATATGCGGATTCGTGTGTTAGAGCTGCCAAAAAAGACTATTTCTGAGAAAATTGCATTAGTAATATGGAGTGTCAAAACATCTGTTACGATAGAGAAGGCAGTGGGAATATGTGAGGGAGAGGAGGAGAAGGCTCTGGGGATGGCTTTGATTGCAAAGAAGTCAAGGTGCAGAAATTAAAAGCTGTGCTCTGTAACAGCAAATAGAAATCTTGCACACAGTTGACCAGCAAATCGGCTTCAAGACAGCAAAACAATGTTCTTTTTTTTTTTCCTTTTATTCTGGGGCCTTGTTAGTCCTGTTGGCTCTGAAAGTTCTAAGATAAAGAGTGGTCTTATTGTAGTCCCAGCAGGAAAGGTAGGGTATAGAGAGGCCTGGTTGTACAGGTTTCAGGCAGAGGGCTGGAAGTGTTTCATTTTGTGTGGAGAGCTGTGTCTTCATGATGAGCAGCCACATACTGGTCTAACAGCATGACCTCTGGAAAGCTTTGCTCAGGTTGTTTGAGGGGTTTCAGGTGACGTTTGTTTCACCTGACTGTGGTTATCTGAAAGCTGAGTGTTTGTCTGAGCTGGTCCTGCTGGATGCATTTGCAGATAATGAGTTGGCCTCTTCTATAGAGTGGCCTTCCTGTCCTAAAATGGCAGGCTCAAATTGTCATTTGGGAGGCTCTTGTTCTTGGTTGACAAGGGCAGGAGGAACCAAGAAGCCTGACTTCAGCGCAGTCCTACAAAGCGAGATGAACCCAATCTTACTTTTGCCCTCCCTTATTGGGAACTTCAGATGTATTTGTTTTCCTGCTGTGCTGTTAAGCCTAGGAAAGTGCTATGGGATGAGCTAATTGCACTGCAAACTAGCATTAATGGCACGTCTGTGTCATGTATCTGTGCTGTCGTTTTGTTTACAGCTTTCCACGGTAGTCGGTAATCTGCCAACAGATTTTGTTCTTCAGCTGCACAAACGTGAGGTGGGTCTTCTGTGGACTAAATGCTGTGGACTTGATTGGTCCTAGGTAACCAGCTCTCCGGTGTGCATGGACATGAATGGCATGTCAGTCCCAACTGAGTTCTTGTCAAGGCACAACTCTGATGGAGTCATCACCTTTGTCGACCCCAGATGCATCAGCGTCATTGGCTACCAGCCCCAGGTCAGTGGGCCCCGTCACTGCTGACATGCATTAGAGCTAATGAGGAGAATCCTGTTTGCACATTAAAATTGAAAGCAGCAAAACGTGAAACATCTGTAGCTAACAATCTATATGCCATGAACTGAATGCTGTTCATTTTTCTATGCTGACCATGCTTCTGTAAAATCTATTTTTCCCCTTTGTTAAGAGGGTTGTCTCTTTATTCTTTTGAGATCCGATTAAAATCCTAACAGCAAGATGCTTTAAATCTTGCACAGCGAATACATTCTGTGACAGAAAGTTAACAGGGCTTGGAGGGAGTTTTAGTCCTGTAATTCTTAACTTCTGCCAGTTTCTTGAAGAAGAAGAAGGGATCATTTATGGCATTATTTTCCTTTAGACTGACATCCTGCTCCTCTCAGCAGGAGTCTGCTCATAGAACTGAGCAGAATAATAAATGAATTTCTGACTACTGTGACCCTCCCTCAGATAACTCTCAACACTTCTATTTTACAGGCAAAAATCATATCTTACTTATTCGTTTTTTCCATTTATATTGATTTTAGGTAGTTTTATAATGACTGATGTTTCACAAAAAATAGTTTTAGTAGAAGATTGGTCTTTTCAAGGCACCATTTCACGGGTATTGGAATTAATGCTTGTTTGTAATCTCGTATGTCTGTGGAACTGTACAAATATAATGCAAGATGTGATGCCTACAGCTAAGCCTACAGATCTCTGTGTTCTTCTTTGATTAACTGAGTAGTCCTGTTGAGGATGATGGATCCAGCGTCTGCAGGGGTTACTTACAGATCCGTGCATGGAGTTGTGTTGCAGTTTGGGCTTTTTACGCAATTTTGTTTTACTTTTTACACAGTTTTTGTTTTATTCTAGGATCTTCTGGGGAAAGACATTCTAGAATTCTGCCATCCTGAAGATCAAAGCCATTTGAGAGAGAGTTTCCAGCAGGTACTGCATCTTGTTCCTTTTCTTCTGCTATTTACTTACTAACTACTCTGTTATTCAGAGAAATAGCTTTTATTTTACATTCCAAGGTACTTTTTTCCATTATCCAGGAGAAGGAGCTGCAAAATAGAAGACAACCTGTTGATCTGTTAATAAACAGTCAAGCTGCATAAACCATAGTTTGAGCTGCGGCATCTGTTGGCTCTGTTTTCAGAAATAAATCACCTGCCCTACCTTCCTGCACGTGTGATGGTGCAGCTCAACGTACATGATGGCTTGCTGACACCAGGGTTAAGGTCCCACTCCTCGTTTCTGCCATCCCTGGCCTCCCCACCCTTCCTGCTACCCTGATGCCATCACAGGTAGACTTGCCTGTTGGGTTAGTGAAAGGACTGCGTGATTTTGCATAGGAGGAGCTTTCAGATGGCTCAGCTCCCAGAGCTCGTTGCCTGATGGCACCAGTGGTGCAAGAAAAGCAGTAAAAACACATATGCTGTGATTCAGTAAAGCCCAGATGATTGATTCCACTAATTCATCCAAGAGACAGTGACAGAATGCTGCTAGATAATAACATGTCAAACATCCGTCTGTGATTGTCTGAGTGCAGCCTGGGGCTCAGGAAGGCTGAATAATGTTCTGGTTAAAGGCTCAGTCCTCACTGTGTGCTTGCTGAGATTGCACCAGGCCACAGGGGCTGCTGCTGTATCCTGGAGTCACTTCCTGGGGACTCTGCTGTCACTGCTTAGCATTGGCCATGTGCGTAAGTGACTTACTGGATCAGGGATTTGTGTGATTTTCAAGGTCATGCAGAAAGGCAGCAGGAAAAAAACCCACAAATTAGAAGTGAACCTTCCTCTTCTCTCAACCTGTGTCCAATCTATGAAAATACTGTGCTGTTTCTTTAGCAGACCGTTCCTCTTTCTGTATATTTTTGTTCAGTACGGTAGCAGTGTGATTGGGGCTGTTATTTCAATCATGGAATAAAAGCCTGATGTAAACAGTTCAGCTATGCACCAGGTGGTTTTTATTTTCTAAAGAATGTAAAAAAGTAAAGGTTAAACATTCACTTGGAATTTCTTTTGTGCTATTTTATTTGTCTGCACTGTTGGAAGACAGTTCACAATTTTCCCATCAGTGATCTCAATGCTTTATATATTATTACAGAATTAATGTTTGCTTTATTCATACTTCAGGACAATAGATCAGTGCAGTTTATTTTATTATTGTTAGTTTGGCCTTAGAAGTCTTTTCATTAAAAAGGTAACTGATTTCCAATAAACCATTCTTTGTTTTTTTCCTCCCCCAAACCCTTTAAAACTTGATATTTTTAATTTGCTGGCAGTGCCAGAACCAGGTTTGTTCATAACAGAGGAGGGGAGGAGGGAGGGATGGGTATGCAGGTTTTGGTCAATTGCCAGCATCCATCTCAAAGATTTTACTTCCTTGGGAAGATAAATTCATTCATCAGGGTGGGAAAATCAGGTCAGAATGAGATATTCTCAAGGCCAAGGTCAACAAATAGAGCTTAGTATCAAAGGATCCAGAATACAGCTACTTGATATCCAGTAGGATACTATTCAGATTGGACACTTATACAAGGTCTGGGTGTGGTAGTAAAAATTTCTTGATTAAAGAATGTTGCACATTGAACTCAAACTACAAAAGTTTTTGGTTTTTTTTATGCCTTATGATTCATTATTCTGAATTTTTTATGCCTTATGAGTCATTATTCTGATTTCTTCTGGGCAATAGTAATACTTTTTGCACCTTTTTTTTTTCCCCTGTATGCTTTCCATTCAGTCCTGTAGCCAGCTGATCAGCTTGAAATGACAAAAACAGAATTGCAACGCATTTCCTAACCTAATTGCTTGTTGATGGAAGCGCAGGGTTTTCTGAGATAACTACTTGTAGGAAGTACAGTGGACAAGGATAGAGAATCCACAACAAGATGTGCATTTGTTTGCATTAGGCCTCCCTTTTCCTTGCCTGAGATCTGGCAGCGGTAGCTTTGTGGAAGAGTAATAAAAAGTAAACAGAGAGATCCTAGGTGAGTGCCAGCGGAATTATTTTAAACCATCTAAGCTTTCTTCTGACTTAAAGCCAGGATTATTAGATAATTCATACAGTGCAATTATAGTGCCAGGGTGCAGGTTTTGTTTCAAGCACGCTTCTTCATCTGGATGCTCATCAAAGTGAAAGAGCAATCCAGGCCCCAGAGTCTGGAGCTGGCACACTTGTTTCTGGGGTTGCCTGGGCCTTGGACCTCATTGCCCATTTTGAGACATTGTTGTGTCACTTTCACTGCCATCAGTGCCTTTGGTTTTATCCATCATACTGGGAGACTGATGGTGAAATTTGGCACCTGGTTCCCAACTTTTGACTTCAGTGAAACTTCAGCTACCAAAGGCAGAGTTGGAAATGATCACTGCCGGATATCTGACTTCAGACTTCTTATAAGCAAGTATGCTGCCCAATAAGGAATTAACTATCCATTTTTATTCATTAATGCTATTAAAATGGGCAGTGGCATATTGCTCTCCACATTCAAATGCTGGCTCATCATTTCTTCTTGTGAAGCCAAGAAGCAGTTGTTTCTTGCTAGCAGTTTGCCATCCTATCTTTTTAATTTTTGGTCTACACTCATGGGTGCTTTTCTCTTGATTTATTATGGGACCTGTTTCTTTTCAAATTCCGATTTTGGATTTTCTCAGGAACAGTCTTTGCTTGTGATGTGTGAGATCTGACTGGCTTTGTGTAATTACTGGAACTATTTCTAGAGGATATTCTTGTTTATTTATCAGCTTTAAATTGCTTCTTTTGGAATGGTCTGTTTTAACTTCAGATATCACAGAAGTAATCTTCAGGGCTCATTTCAGCAAAGCACTGCAGCATGTACTTAACCATAAGTATGTGGTAAATTCATTTATATTCAATTATGCCCATAAGAGCAGTTTAATTTAGCACATGCTTAATTCCCACTACATTTGGAGCTCAGCACACTGCTGAGTATTTTGCTGAATTAGAGGCAAACCTCTTTTGTCTTTCTCTCATCTGTGGTTACATCTATCTTTATTTACCTGTTTCTGTCCAACATAATTGCTGACTTCTGTGCATCCTTTGGAAGTTCTCATTGCCCTCTGTTCAACATCCCTGCAAGATCTTGCTGGGTCTGTTCTACACTGAAAAATTCACCTATACATCTAAGAGGTCATGAGTACCTCCACTTCTTTTTTTTTTTTTTTTTTTTCTTTCTCATCAATTTTTCTCTAATTAGTTATCTTTCTCCATTCAATTATTTCCCTCTTCTTTTTCTTCTGTCCTCCTAATTCAGAATAATTACCCTTCTCTAACTGTTTTCTTCATTCTGGTTTACTGCTTCTTGACAAAATGTAGTCAGGTTCTTCATCCTTACTCCTCTCTTTGTCTGCCTTATCTTAGGCAATTTAAATACTGTTCTTAAATACTGCTACCTGTTCATTTGTTGGCAAAAATAAGGTGTAAAGGGAGCTTGTCAGCATTTGGACAGGAAAGCTTATTATAAGGAAACAAGTGTACAAGATAACGATGATTTTTTAAGGCATTTGCTATCATTAGGAAGAGGCAGTGAACAGAAGAGATAAGGGAGCAGATGCTTAGCAGAGCTAGGTGGGTGCCAGACCAAGTCCCTGAACAGAGATTTCTGAAAAGGAACTTGATAGGCTTTTCTTGGGTAGTCTTTCTTAAAAATAGCTTACAGCTCCTGCTAGCTTTGTGTCTTGGAGTCTGCACAATACATCTGTTCTTGTGCTTCAAGGGCAGGGCATATGTTAAAACTTCTTCTACTGCGGAGTTATGAGCAGTTGCTTTGACTGGGAGTCCATTTCTGAGTAATCCTGTTATTTAGTGCAACAGTGATCAAGAAGCGGAATCATGTCAGGATGTGGCACCAGGTCACCAACATCCTATTGCTCTCTCTTACCATTGAAACAGAAGAGAATTGCAGTCTGGAAGATGGGCTGACACTTGGTGGTTGTCTTGGCAACAGAAAAGCTTGACTGTGTGAGCAACGCTTCGACATCTTTAGTTCTGGAGCAGTTCTGTCTTTAAGGAAGATGATTCCAAGTCGTGCTGGGGTAGTTGAAGCCCCCCATGCTCTTGTGCACCCCTCTGACAGAGGTTAATGCCCTGAGACCACAAAGGCTGGATGAACACAGGTGTCTGCTTCTTAGCTACCGCTGAGTTAACACCCAGAACCCTCCATCAGTTACTCATGTTAATAAGCAGGCACAAAAATCGTAGTGAGAGAGCACCTGTGTTGGCTTTGCACTCCGTGGGAAGGAGAAATAGTAGAGTTAAATCCCACAGGGAAATATAAATCAGAATCCCCATGGACAGACTTTGACAGGTAGAGGTCCTCACTATGTAATATTTAGAGTGTTTCAGGATCAGATATTAGTCATCTGAAGACAGATTTGGGCTTGTAATGTGTTTGGGGAAGGAAAAAAAAACAAATAGTCAAAATAGTCACATACGGTGTCTACAAAAAGGAAAAAGAAAACATTAAGTATTTTCTTAAATGTAGTGTGATTTAGTATGTCACACACATGAATTGTACAGCTAGATACTCAAGCAGAAAAGCAGACAGGCAACCTCATAAAATGTGTTTTCTTGTGGACTTCTATTTCAGGTACAAAGTTTAGTTCATGATATACATATTTAAAAGATGCCTCAGTTTGGTTCCTGTGGAAATATGTATTCTATATGGAATGTTTGGTAAATATTCCATATTAAAACCTTCTTAAAGCTTCCCTCTTGGGATAACAGCACAACCTGTTGGTTCCTGAATCTGTATGCTCTTTATAAGCAGGCTGGAGTGAATGTCCTATGTAACAAAATGTGTTTGGGGGGTTAATTCTGAAAGAAATAGCTGCAAACATCTTTCAAATTTTGGTTATTGTCTCTTTGAATGAAGAATTGTCCTGCTTTGTCCATAGCTTTCTGTAATTTAGGTTCAGAACACTCTGGTTTCTGCTGCTTGTTATTCATTTGCACAGCAGATAGCAATCTCCTTTTATTAACCTTTCCAAATGGTTTTGCAGGTTGTGAAACTGAAAGGTCAAGTCCTGTCTGTGATGTACCGATTTCGTACCAAAAACCGGGAGTGGATGCTGATCAGAACCAGCAGCTTCACCTTTCAGAATCCTTACTCTGATGAGATTGAATACATCATCTGCACCAACACTAATGTAAAGTATGTGCCCTTCCAGGTGCTCATCTATGTGCTTTGGAAAGAACCGAAGCATTACTTTTTGCTGTTCAGCAGTGTAAATGCCCATTCAGGTTTTTGTGTTACTAGCCACGTTTTGTTTCTCTGTACCAATCTGTAGCAGAGCTTTTCTGCATCACCAGATCCTGCAGCATAGCTGCTTCTCTCATTATCCTGCGATGCTTCCAGGCCTTGGCTGCACAAGGAGAATCCTCACTTATCTTTGTTGTCATTAGGCAGGCCCCTTGATCTCAGTCCAGGCTGCTTTAAACTAACACAGAGCTTCCGGCAGCAGACCAGCTGTCCTGATATTGGAGAAAGGTTAGCCTGATTCCTAAGCCAAAGAGAAAATTACATGTGTGCTTTAATAAGTATCACGCAAGAAAACAAGACTCCTGCCTCTTGTCTGCTGTGGTCTTACTGTTATCCTGGGTATCTTCTCCTTGAGCTCTGCTTGCTCTTGCAGCCTATAAAAGCAATGGCAATATGATTTCCTAGTTGGTTGAAGTGGGAAGGGCTACTCCTCTACTGTTAACATCTGGTAGAATATCCCTAAGTATGGTGATAGATCCAGCCCTTCATACGAAAAGGGGAATGGAATCATCATGTATTTGAATAAAAACTTCCAAAAATCTGTCACTGGACTTTTTAGAAGGAGGTGGAATTAGTGAGTGTCTCATTCTGTAGCTGATAGAACTGCTTCTAAGGAAAAGTCTGGCTAGGAGTATAGCAGGGGTTTGTCACTGTTTAACTGAGCAGAGAAGATTTCGGAGGCAGCAACTGCAGAAGCTAATCTGGTCTTGATAAAGCTGTTGCTTTTGTAGTTGTTAGAGTTTTTTGTTGTTGTTTTTTTTTTTAATGTCCTTTTCATAAATATTTCCTCTTTCTAGTGTAAACTTAAATTATTTCTAAAACAAAATCTACTTCTGGTCTGACCTGGGTTTTTTGGTGGCTTATTTGTTTTTCTTTTTTGCCAAGTGTTTAACTTTGAGGAAATTATTAGATTTAAAATCTCAACCTGTTGGACTGTGTAATGGAAATGCTGAATAAGCAATCTACCAGTGGAGATGCATGGTGAGAATTCTACTTGGAAAACCAAAGCCCCAGGGTGTTGGCATTTCATCTTAGAAATCTCATAAGTGTCTCTGTGTGCTCCCTGACTTGCTGCTGAAGAAAGGTATTTGGACATGACACATACCTGGGGTGGAAGACCTGTCCTTTCAGCAACTTGAAACCCATCATTAGAATCAATTTGCTTAGATCTTTTGTGCTTTAAAAGTTAAACAACCGAACAGTTCATTGAAAACAAGTGGCCTGAAACCAGGGATGATCATCTTCCTGATACTTCCTGCACTGATATTTCCACATTTATGTTGCCCTATATCTCTTTTCAAAATGATTTGTTTGCAAAAAAAAAAAAAAAAAAAAAAAAAAAGGCCAGCAAAGTAAATGGTAATTGCTGCAGTCTGTCCTAGGATGGCTTAATTGTGCTTTGTTCCCAGGAGTCCACAGCTCAGAAGGTGGAACTGCAGACTGCACTGTGTTTACTCTGGGAATGCTTCTTTCTGGGAGTCCTCTATACTGTTCAGCTTGGCATTGCAGCAGTCACTGAGATGAATAGGATTGTGCCAGATTCTGGCTCCTGTTATATTTCTTTTGCTGGGTCTGAATAACAACCCAGCAATGCTGCCCTAATATGGAAGTTGCCTGCTGCTTCTTTGACAGTGGATGTTCCTTCTTTTCTCTTGTGTTGAAAATGTTCTGGTCCTATGGCAAGATACAGCCCATTATATGTCTGCTTTTGAATGGTAGAAAGAATGCATTATTCAAACTGTTTTCTGTTTTTCTCCCTGTGCTCTCACACTTCTCAGACAGATGTCCAAAGAGAACTCACTGTATTGTAGTGCTGTTCCAGGCATATATCTTTGCTTTCGCACATTTGGGATCATGTTTTGACTTTCGATTTCTTAGATGCCTTGAGACATTATTTGGCATGGTAACTGCTGCCTTTTGCCTCCTCGTTCAGCTCCTGCTCAGGCTGGCGGTTCAGTGCTGTTGGCCATCCAAATATGTCAGTGGCTGCAGCCATTGCTCTGGGTCAGGCAAAGTGCTTCACCAGGAGACCAAGCACTGCTGCCTTCCACTGCACAGCTACATGGAGAGACACTTTATCTCTTACTATGATAATGTGGCCAGCTCCAGGATATACAAGCTTGAGGGGAAAAAAAATTCAACAAGCAATTCAAAAAAAGGCAATGTACACAACAAATCTAGGTTTAAATAACTTTTTATCTGAAAATAATTGAAATCACACGGCATACATCTTTCCCTCTCTCTCTCCATTCATGGCATAGCTCTCATATTCTGTTGGTCAGCAAGCAATGTTTTCCCAAAAGACTGCAGAGGGCAGTGGTGGATCCAGTTGTGGAGGGATTCATTGATTATTGTTTGTTTTGGTTTTGCTTTTCTCTTTTCTCCCTTTTTCTGCTCTAAGGATTTTCCTTTAGAGCTTCAAACGCTCAGCTTTCCAAATCTGCTTTTGGTGCGGAGTATATTGGGAAATTAGGTTCAAATGTTCACTTAGTTCCTTGCAGAAAAAAAGACAAGAAAACTCTCAGTTTCACTGGGGTACAGTCATCCAAGAGAAACTTCCTGGAGAAATGAAGCATTTAATGTTTAGCATTTGTGCTGTGTTCGGCTGAAAAGTCACCCATCCAACCACATCTTCCTGTGCATTTGAGGCTGTTTGATTTCCAGAAAGAAATAATAATTGGGATTAATGTTTATCTAACAGAAAGTACGCAGAGCAGCGTTTGAATGAAATAATCCATCGTGGTGACAATGGAAGTCTTGAAAAACAGGGAGATCAGATATTTTTCTGACTTCTCTGGAAATGCTGATGTTTTAATTTTTGTCAACCCCGAAGTCCTGTGTTCCTTTGCATGCATTTGCGAATCTTCCAGATGCCCTGAGTTTCCAGGTTTTCATCTTGGAGCCAGCTGGCTCGGGTCACTGCTGGAGGCAGCCTGCAGGATGAATCAGCCGTGCCTGGGGAGAGCAGCTCCCTAGTTCTGATTCTCTGGGGCCAAAATGCTGTTGAGACCAATTCTTCTCTCTTGGGTAGGGGTGCTAAAGATCCCCATGCCATCTGTGGGCTGCCTGATCCATCACGACATGTGTAAGATGGGCCCTTTCACAGCAGTGACTTGGATACTAGACAGAGAGGAGTTTCAAGACTTCCTGAAACAAGACTATATGAGGGCAGTCTCAAGACTTCTATTGCTGACTTTTTGTCCAAAGCAGGGAAATGTGTGTGCTTTGATGCCTGAAAAAGCAACTGTTTATATGGAGAGATTAATTCAGCTGAAATCCTCTTCAGTGTCCACAGGAACTGGTTCAGAATATTTCCTTTTCCTCCAAATGGAAGTAAAATTGAATTAACTGCCAAAAAGCTTCAGCTTTGCAAAGGGCTTTCTTGCTCAAGCCACACACTGTCCTGGTTTCATACTGGATCAAGGGGTGAGCCTGGAATTCTGCAGCATGGGCTGGAATTGTTGACTTGGGCAATACTTTACTTGCTGTGTTGGGTATCACACAGAGCCCAGAACTTTCTCTTCCATTTACTCCTTTAAGGTGTGAAACCAAAATAGAAACCAAAGATAGTTTGGCTTTTGGTTTCAGAATCCAAAGGTTATGGGATCACAGAATCATAGAATTGTCAGAAGGCAGTTTCAGTTTTGCCGAAACTGATAGCATGTTTCTGTTTGGTACCACCTTAAAGAAACAAGCTGGCACCCCATGCCTGAAGGGATGTGTGTCTGCTGCCATTCAATCAGCAGGGCTGGTTGGGTGACATGCCCACAGCAGCAGTCTTCAGCTCTCCCTGGTCGGATGCTCCAGGAACTGTAGTGTGGCTCCTTTCAGGCTTCAGACATCATTCAGACTATCTACACAGTAGCAGCAAAGATGCTAACCTGCCTTTGCATTCCAGACTTTGATGCAGTGTACCTTACACAGAGCTCAGGAAGAAACACTCAAGTATTTGATGTTTATAGGAAGTGGATTTAGTGGGTTGTTCACTGAGTTCTGTGCTGTTAACACAGTGTGATAGCTGTAATGTATTGCATGAGTATGGTATGAATATTTAATAAGTATCAGAGATGATAGAGAAGGGCAAAGGAGCACTGAGTTACAGGACTGCCTACAAAACAAATAACTGGTGAGCATGCTGTTTGGTTTGGCTCATTTGTATGTATAGAGCTGAATCAAGAAAACATGCTTTCTACGGAACAGAAGAGACCTAATGTGCTGTTTATTGACACACGCACCAAGGCATTGGTAGTAAAAACAAATGAAACAGTGTAATTAGCTTTCACGTTAACAACAGGATTTGATGGGTGTTTATTATCCACAGGGCGGTATTTAGAAAAACTTCCCCATAGATTTACCATGATTAAATTACCTCCCATAGTTCTGCTGGAAGAATGTGCATTTTATGCTTGCAGAACAAAGAATTTCTTTGCGTTCCAGAGGTAATTTTTTAGGGATTCTCTGTTGGCTGAAGCAATGTGGAAAATCCATGCTTCTTTGGTGACCTGGAGGAGTGACATTTTTGCTTGTTACTCATGGCACAAAAGTGATTCTGTGTACTATGTACTCTACAAAGTAATCCTAGCAGTATGTGTTTGGCCATCTGCTCTGATCTGGTGTGTTGCAGGTCACAGATTTTTGTCTAATTTGCCACTGAGCCTAATAGTAGCTAGTGCCTGTGTGAAGAATTACATGGAAAAGCAACAAGTCAGGACTGAAAGGCATCAAAGGGTGGAAAAAGTTGGAGTAGTCCCTCCATTGCTGTCGTGTTGCTCCCAGTCTGTTTTATTTGGTCTCAACATTTGTCTCAGTCCTTTGACGTGTGACCAAAATTATATCCTAGTTATCCAGAGCTTTGAAGTCCACAATCTTGCTATTTTGGAACATCTTGCCTGCTGTGACTGCTCATCTGTTAGGTGACTTTTTTCTTCAGAAAGAAGTCAGAAACATACAGAACTGCAACCACTGTCAAGTATCATTTGCAGCTGTCAAGCTCATTAATCCAGCTCCAGTGTTATCCTCATCTCTGAGTTTTAGCATCATTTTGAAGGGTTTGTATTTCCTTTGATAACTAGGCAAAGAGCATCATAGGTACAGCGTGCATCCCTAAACTAGGAGTAATCTTGCTGATTGTGACCAAGTGACAGAAAGCAGCTGTTACTGGAACGTGCAGAGCATTCAGGTAATGTATCTGTACAAAGAAAATCATGCATTGGAGGGTGCAATCCGCAAAAGACAAAGCATTTAGTCACAAAATATTCCAGTTCCACTTCTGTGCCACTAAAACCTTTAACCGAAGTTCTCTGCAGGGATTCAGATATTATTCTGTGGGAAAAACCAAGTAGCTTTTTTTGAGGGACCATTCCAACCTTTTCAAAGTCAGCAGAGTGCCAGAAGCCGAGTGTTGTGTCCTGTGTTATCAAACAGTTACAGAGTGCATGTGGATGAGCTGCTGAGAATGGGGTTTGAATGGCAGCAGTGTGCCTACTGTGCTGGAGCTCAGTGCTGCCCTGAGCAGCTCTCACACTGCAGTCCCAGCTGGGACTTGGGACACACATGGGTTTGATGTGTGAATTTGTCCTTTCCAATCTTAAAAAGCGAGTGGATAAAAGGGTTCAGAACATCACTGTGCTGGGTACATGACAGCTATAAAAAAGATACGTACATTTTTATAAATAATATTTGTGCATATGGAATGTGAGTATCTCTGGGTGGTCACCACCTGCTTGTTGTCCCTACAAGTCTTCATCAGTAGGAAATGTCACCTGTTGGTTATTTCTTGTGACTTCCAATGATTTTCTCTGCTGGTATTGCTAATTGCTGTAGTTAAAGAACAGTGCCTGATGCTAAACACAAATCAAGCACATTTCAAGCATCTGCAGATGCTAAAGTTCTTTGTTCTGGCATACAGCCCCCAAAGTTTATTGGCTCTGGCAGTTTCTTCTGAAGTATTTTTCTATTACTGCTGCACATTTAATTTTTTCTTAAGTTCATATAATTGGATTAAAGCTATTACTTCCAGTGATTCTTATCTCCTTTGAACAACTGACATTTTTCTGTTTGATTAGCTTTAGCAGGAGGCTTGTGTTTTCTGTAACATTTGTCAACACAGATTTATTTTAGGTAATGATTTCATTTACATAGTAGTACGAATTTATTTCTTGATGTTCACTTAAAAGATTTCAGAAACGAGATAGGATGTGGACTTGGATCCTTAGGAGAGTAGAACTGAAGAATATTAAAGAGATTTTATTACAAAGGTTTTATATTCAGTTCTAACTCATCATACTGTTCCATGTGCCATTCAAACAGGGTTCTGATCACTTTTTTCTTATTAACTGGTGTAATGTATTGGTGTTGCTGGACTTTTCCTGTTTACTTCAGCAGGATCAGGGAAGAGGTTTGGCATATTCATCCTTAACGTGAGGAAGATGTTCGTGATGGTTAAAAGTGAATCCTTAAGTCATGTATAAGGAGGTTGCATTCCATCCTCCATTACCTACCCATATTTCTGTGCCGATACAGAAAAGCTCTTCATGTGCCATATCACATTCTGTGGTGCAAGTGTTCTGAGTGTAAAAGCTTTCAAAACGGATGAATCTCAGAGGAAAGGACTTAATGCCTGAGAGACATTTCTCTCAGTATTAAATAGAAAACTGCCGCTGCCCGTTTTTCTCTATCTTAATTGTTTTTTGTAACAACATCGTTTTGTTTCCTTCGCAGGCAGCTTCAGCAGCAGCAAGCAGAACTTGAAGTACATCAGCGAGATGGGCTGTCATCCTATGATTTATCTCAGGTGAAGTTTCTCAGTACTTTTCATATTTGTGCCTCTAATCTTTTAAAATGTAAAGCATTGGCAGATTTCAGCAAAATTAAAGATGCGGTGTGACCGTCCCTGAACTCCTTTTTGTGAAATGTGTTGGAGGGAATTACCTTCCTCTGTGCATCTGTACAGGTGCCTGTTCCAAGTATACCAGCTAACGTTCATGAGAGTGGGAAGTCTGTGGAAAAGCCGGATGCTATCTTCTCCCAGGAGCGAGATCCTAGATTTGCTGAGATGTTTGCTGGCATAACTGCTTGTAAGTGGTGTTTAATTTTTCACCCTGTTTTAAGTTTGGTTACATGATGTGGAGCGCAGCCATGTGAGAATGTGCTGCATGACAGAGAAATTTCCAACAAAGTCTGTTTGCAGCACATTTCCAGAATTTGGGGTATTTCCCCCAAAGATGTAAAACTCAAGGGGTAAGAACAGCTATCATGTGGCCAGCTACTTATTGCTGTTCATTGCACAAAGGGATCTTAAAAATTGTTCATAGATGCTAAACATTCTGAGCAGAATTTTCAGTTTCCAAGTATATATTTTCTTTCTTAGACAGCAGATGTGAGTTCACCTCTCTAAATAGGCATTGATCAAGAAGGTTACCAAGCAGCTGTAAGCAAGCAAATTTTTCATCATATCAGAAGCTTCTACTTTGATGTTTTGCATTGGTATGCATCTGAGAAATAGTTACATTCTTCTGTATTTCAAAAAAATTACTGTGAGGACTGAGTGCACACAAAGTGCCCTCAGTGAAGCATTCCCCAGCCGTGTTCCAAGAGGTAGCAGCCAACTTGTCAGCTGGGCAGACATTCCTCTAGCTCACTTCAGCTTATGTTGCTTGTTGCCCTCCGTTGAGAAGACTGACAGCTGAAGGGGTCATCTGAAATATATCTGTAGGAAATAAGGCTCATTATTTCCACTGCTTGTGGAAGAACTTGTTAATCGTTTATTGTTCTTAACTGTCCCCACTGAAAAATAGAAGTTTTTACATTTGTTTTAAGTAAATCAATGTGCAAATGTCACGCAGCACATGAGGGAGACAACCACAGGGTTTGGCTCCAGGGGTGTTGGGAGATGACCTCACTGCATTGGTTCCTTGTGTCTGTCATGGCCTTTTCTAACAGAGAAGGTAGTGGAGCTGCAGGATAGCCCTGGTACTCTGTCCTCCTCTTGCTCTTACTCTTAACTTTGTTATTCTTGTTCATCCTTTTCCGTCTACTCTAACAGTGAGTCTACAGCTGAGGCCATAAAAGGGGTCCATTAGAAGGTAGCAGGACTCTAACCTTAAACACTAAAATATGTTTTCCCAAGCAAGAACATTCTGCTTTTTGGCTGCCTCATTGGCTCTTTCTCAGGCAGCTCTCAACTGTGGGGAGGGGTTAGGGTTAAGGGTGCAGCAAGCTGTGAGGTAGCTGAGAGGTTATGTTCTTGGAAATGCCATTTCACTTTTTATTCTCATCAATTTACAGGGTATGCTTTTTTTGGTATCTTACCATGTCTGAATTTCTCATGGGAGCTGTGATCAAGGTCTTCTCTGAATGATAAAAAGAAATGGTTCTCAGTCGGAGATGAGATAGGCTATCCAAAACCAATATTGACAAACCTGTGTGCTGCTCGCAAGACTTTTTCATTATGTTGGTACCAGATCTCAAGCTCTGCTATGTTCTGTAAAAATACAGGTTTGACATACAGGAATTGTTGGATAATCACATGCGGTGGCCACACATAATTAAAAACTGAAGTGGAAAGAGGAGGGCTGGCATCACCCATTCATACAGGTGCCTTGTGGTACAGTTGTGACAGAGGTGTTCGTTCTGCAGGCAGAAATACTGGTCCTGCTGCCACAAGAGTAATGGCTGACCAGTAAAGGGACCTTGGTGTAGGGAAGGGAGTTAAAAAGGAGTTGGAATAAGGATGCAGGTAAAGCACCAAAACAAAGTAGATATACAGTGTTGTATGGTAAGGGCAGTGAAGTAGTGTGGCAAATCATGAATGGGAATAAGAGTTCTTAAAGCTGATTTAGCTGCTTGCAATTAGTTTAGCTGCTCCCTTTGTCTTGGCTTCATCCCGCAGCATGGACCCGCTAGCTGCCATGGTAACTTTTCTCCACTTGAGGAATTCAAGTTCATTTAGAGCGTTTTCAGTGCTGCTGTTGAGACGTTTTCAAATGGCTAAAATAGCTGCAGGATTTTGGCTCAGCCTGTTCCAGCCCTGAAAGCTTGGTATCCCAGCAAAGGGTGGCCTTAGAAAATGAGAGGTCTCAAACAAGAATTACACTGCTGAAGGCGGGGGGGGGGGGGGGGATGGAAAAAGAAAAAAAAAAAAAAAAAAAAAAAAAAAAAAAGGCAAAATCATCTGCCCTTCCCTTCTTCTTGGAGATGTCCTTACCCCAACCCATTCTCAATTAGTCCCTCCTACCATATGCACAACTTTCTCTAGCCCTTGTCCCCTTGTCCCCATTTCTCCCTGCTGTTTTTATATCAGAGTGTAAGTTTGCAGCCCAGACTGTGCTGAGCAGGTTGTAGCCAGTGAGGAGTTTCTACAATTTCCTACACTGAAGAGGAGAAGCAATGCCAGCTTGCATCAGTAGCATACATCCTCCTTCTCTGAAGTTCTTGTGATGTAATTTGAGGTGAATTCTTCATCTGTGAAGGAGATATTAGATACTTGTTAAGAAAATAACATAATAAAAACTTAGGTAACAGCAAAGAGGTGGTGTGTATTGGAGATCCTTGATGAACCAAGCTCACAAGATCTCTAAAAGGTAGAGAAAGCTACAAAATACTTGTACTGGTTGTGAGCTGTGTGGGCCTTGTGTCCAGGAGGGCAATTGTGAGTGGGAGAATGAAAAGAGCAAAGGGGAATTTGAGGAGGCAGACTTGATTTCTCGGCCTGTCAGAGGTGTGTAGCATCAGGTGGTTGCAAAGCCATCTGTGAGCTGTGGGTGTTTTACACTTGAAAATAGTAAGGGAAAATGGGGAAAGTGAATAAGGGGTGGTGAAGCGGATCTTTCAATTATTTTAAGAGAAGTAAATAGCAGTGAGGTTTCCCTGGGCTTCAGAATAATTCAGCTCAAGAAGATTAAATTAAGGGACTGAATGGCATTGTTGTCTAATTCAACTAGAGATTGATCTCCAGTTGCCACATTAAGAGCAGACTATAAAAGTTAATGGCATCTCCATGTGTGTATTACTCACTATGTTACTCTGTCTTTCCACACCACTACAATGCCTGCACTGTATTTCTTGGCTCTCCCAAGCCACACATAGAACCCTTGGCTGAATGGAGCAGGGGTTCTCTGATACAATTCCTTGGTGCATTTAACCCTGCTGCTGCCTCCATACAAACAGGCTGCAAGATCTGGAGCAGCTTCCAGTGGGCACCACGAAGGTCTGGACTGTGTGACTGCAGGGCATGTAGCAGTGTCGTGTTCCATGCAAACAATAGCATTAATGAGGTACATCCTGGGGAAGGGCTGTGAAGTACACTCAAGCCAGCTGTGTCTCTAATTTCATATTGAATTGTCATATGGCTCTTTTGTGTCATAATGTACTCCACAGGGCTTTTTCATAAAAGTTTGAGAAGGGAAGAGCAATCCCTGCTGTGTGTATACGTTGCTATTTTCTTTAAGTAATTTTTCTTGTCCCCTAAGCATTTATTTTTCTTTCATTCACTTTTCTTTTGTAGCAGATAAAAAAATGATGGCCTCAGCATCCACAGCAGGAAACCAGCAGCTGTATTCACAGGGAAGCCCATTTCAGCCAGGACATTCAGGAAAGAGTTTCAGGTACTGTAGTCCAGATCCTGAGCACTGAGTGCAAGCTGTTTCCTTCAATTTGGTGGAAACCACACTAACCTATAGCAAAAGGGCTTTCTTTGCCTGTATGAACTTATCTTCTTGTATCCTTTGCTCCTACATGATGTCTCTGCATCTGCGCTAGGCTTACAAGCAGATTTGGTTTACTCAGATACAAATAGTGACTGCTAAGTAGATAGTTGTTGCTGTGATGGTGACATTGGTAAAAGATAAGCAGTAACAAATCTGAGAGGTGATGGGGCAGGCTCACATGTCTGTCTGATTGAACATTCACCCAACTAGGAAGGTTCACAGATTTACCCCGAGCTGCTTTGTGCTGCCTTGTGCTGCTTGTGCAGGCTGCCTCAAGGGCTCTATTTGTCAATGATCCAGTCTAGTGGACTCCAGTATTAATGGGAACAGAAAACTTGTTTAGAATGCCAGTATGCTCGGTAGTTCTGTAATGTTTTAAGTCATTTTTCATTAATACAGAAGGAACAGTTCTAATGTGATCTTGATTCTGAAAATTTCAATATCTGTAATACTTTTTGTACACTGGGAGTGTGTCCTAAAGCTGGGAACTGTATCTGTTTCTTCAGTTCGTCTGTGGTACATGTGCCTGGTGTGAACGACATCCAGTCGTCTTCATCAACAGGCCAGAATCTGACACAGATATCTCGCCAGCTAAATCAGAGTCAGGTTGCCTGGACAGGAAATCGCCCTCCGTTTCCAGGACAGGTATCAGTCAAAGCTGTTCTGTTTTCATAGTCATTAGAGATTTGCAGTCCTTCTTCTTTTTAGGTAAGATTTGCTAAACCTCATTTATAACTTGATTAAATGTACTTCACTTCTATCATTTATTCTCAGAGATAAATCCATTCCTCCACTTCTGTTCCTTGACAGGTTATAATAACTTGAGACAGCAGCCCTATGTGTAGCTGCATTTAGTTTGTAATAATGTTCATAATATTTACAGTTGCTGTGCTGACATAAATCCCAATAGAAGGTCTCAGTCTAGCACTTATTTTTGTGTGCACCAAATGAAATAAAAGAGGACAACTGTTACAATTTACTATTAGGCTCACACATTAATTCTTTCTTGCATCTGGCAATATTATACACAGTTAGAAGCACAATCAACAAGTGGTGCATCCAAATACAGGTGTGAATTCGGAGCAGAGGGCACAGAATCTGTTGCTTTCCATTAGCACTGCCCAGTGCTACTCACACTATGATGCATGCTGGAGGAGACAGCACATCTTTCCCTGAGGTGCCCCATAACAGCATCAGGGCTTCATTAACCCAGAAGTCACCTCTTGTTCTTGTGTTAACAAGAATAAAGTGCTTCAAAACAAAGAATAATATGAAATAATCGTGTTCTGACTATCATTAATGCTGTTCTTAATCACTAACTTTCCACTGTTTGGTAGGTTAGAATGACATCTTATGCTGGGTGATAAAATACCTTTTGAGTAACTGAGTTACTTCCACGTTAAACACATTGATGCTGCCCAGCCCTCAGTGTGCCATGGTTATTCTGTCACACCTGTTCAGTCAAACACATTTGTAAGCTGGCACTTTGTTGGGTAATATGGAGGATTCTAAAAGTGACGTTAAAGGATTACTCATCCCTCTTTCTGTCCAAGTCAACAGAGTTTATATGTGAGCATGAGGAAATTGGAATTCATTCATTGTAAAGAAAGAGTTAAGCCTTGCAGAAGTAACACATGCTGTCCTTATCATTGTAAAAAAGCTTTAGAAATGGACGATGTCTTAGTTTGGAAATGAGCTGAAGAATTAATAGCATCTTCATCATGTTATATGCCTGTTGGGATCTCTCTTCCTCCTCCAGGTTCATTGCGTTTGTCTCAGACAATCTTCACTTGAGCGCATTGATTGCCAATAGCAGCTCACATCATTAAAGCATCTAGAGATGTAATCACCTTTTATTTCTATTTGTGGAACTGGCTAGGCAGTGTTTTTCTTGGAACTTCTGCATTTGTTCATAATGCAGGAGATGGGAAATAGTTTATTAGCAGATTTTATCTGTAGTGTTACTTGTTGTAGCACGTGGTTTTGGATGACATGCTTCACCTCCCTTAGTCTCAGTATACATCTCAAAGCAGTCTTACAGTGTTTAATCATTTGTATAACATTCATGGAGATTCTGTGGTGAAACCATTATGTAGGTGAAAATGACAGCAAGTTGCTTTTTAATACCCTTGAATTAATTTTGCTGCCCTGTTAAATCCAAGTTGGACTGTTTGTTCCCTACTCCCAGGGATTGTGATTCACACTACCTCCCAAATTTTTTTACAAGGCAAAATAACTTTGTTCCCTGTATTCTTGAGGCAGGGAGTGTAAGCAGATCATTATCTTCTTTGGCCAATTTTCCCCAAGCACTGGTGACTCTAATCATCTGAAAACTCCCTACGTTCTACAAGACAGACAGATAACTGTGATTTTCCTGTGGCACTGCAAAATCAAAACACATGGCAACTAATTCTTCACAGCTCTTCAGTTTGAGATTAATCCTTGTGATAGAGGTGAAGGAAATCTTGTTTTTACCAGTAGCTCTTATTGCCTGCATGTAAGTTAATAAGCAGGAGAGCCATAAGTGTTGATTTATAGCTTCTTGTGTTGCTTACGCAGCAATATGTTGGCTTTGACAGAAATTAAATATGACTGAGATGGGGAGAAAGTGCACATTCATATGTGCAGGATTTATTTAGTTTATGCTGTGTATTGTTAAGAACGTGTGTCTGTAGAGATGCTCTTCAACAATAAAAATAATTCCTTTCTTTCACCCCGTATTCCTCAGCAAATTCCGTCTCAGTCTGGCAAGGCTCAGTCATCTCCCTTTGGGATTGGGACAAGTCACACCTACCCAGCAGATCCATCATCATACAGCCCACTTTCCAGCCCTGCCACCTCTTCTCCAAGTGGGAATGCCTACTCCAGCTTAGCAAACCGAAGTGCAGGGTTCGGTAAGTTTTGAACAAAGCAGCACAGAAATGCCCATAAAAATGAAACGTTGCGGCACAAATGGAATTTAAAATCCTCCAGCTTTGTCTTTTGGTGCTTCAGTTGGGAAGCTTGGGGTGTGAAAAGGTTCTGCTCTCGTTTTGTGCACAGCAGACTGCGATAACCTGTTCCCTCCGTGATGCATCCTCTACATCCAGCAGACTTTGGAATATTGTGACATTCCGTAATACGAAGTTGCATCTTTTTCCCTGTCAGTTGTGTCATGAAAGATTCATAGGTTGCTTGTGCCACTAATACGTCTTCCCAAACTGTAGCCAGAAGGTTCAGTCTCTACTTCTAATGATAACACCTAAATGGCACGATAAAATTTACATTCTTTCAGTTTTTCAACTTCTCTGATGGCACAGTGTTATCCCCTTGTCTGGGGATGGCTTGCTGCTATTTGGCTGGACGCAGGATTGTGCTGACCATGCTGCCATTTTGGGAAGTGGTTTTCCTTTTCTGTGCTCAGCTAGTGGATTTCAGACTGTGTGAACCCTTGGTGAAGATTTCTGGACTCCAGGAGTACAACAAGATTCAAGAGTAAAAAAAATTGAAGGTTTGTCAGTGATAAACACACACAGAGTGCATGGGAGATGTTGCTGGCTGATAGAAGGCTGCAATTCCAGAAAACTTAGGTAGAATCGTAGTAAAGGGTGCAGTTTTTCACTTCTTTCTTGAGACTACGACAGGAGCAGATCAGCCTCCCTAAGTTCAGTCCCCTAAGTTCAGTCCTGTGCTGCATTGCTTGGAATAAATACAGTGAAATGGAGCTTTTCCCGCAGAGCTTATTCATGACTCCATTTTCATTTCCATTAGGCTTTGTACATTTGTTTATGAGACAGCCTTGCATTTCAGGCCTAAGCTACTTGGCAGGAACCCTTTCACCTAATGAGAAACATTTCCTGACCTACATCAGTTTGGATGCTATTAATAACAGCCTTCACAAAGACGAATGTCTTCAACCTCTGGCTTGCAGTCACTCTTTTGCTGAAAAGGAGCATCATTTGCCTCACTGACTTAATTTCAGTTTATTCTTCTGAGAAAACAAATATTGCAAGTTTTTTTTTTTAAGAGCTACTTAGATGAATTTTATTTTGGCTAATAAAACGAATATAGGATTTCTGAGTCAGCTGAATTATTGTGTAGTAATGTCAGTAAGGAAGAGCTGTAATTGTTTACTTCAGATGTGATGGAAATACATCACTGCAGCCTGTATATCATCCTGTGAAACGTTCATTTTATCTGTTTTGCTTGGTTTAGCTGGTAGTCAAAAGGATTGAAGCACTGATTATGGAATAGTAATTGATTTGACATTACAGAGTCTGGTTATTGGAGACCTGACGTAACGTGGTGCACAGAAGTTTGGTATCCTTGGAGGAGGTGCTGATAATCTGGGACAACCAGATCTACCAAGCTGGGTTGCCTGTAGCATGGGGAAGACAGGCAAAAACAGTAGGAATAGATATTAAAAAAAAAAAAAAAAATAGAGGGAAAAGTGTTAGCCTGTCAGGAAGCTTTCCAACATGCTAAATCTTAGAAGGAGATTTTGACGGTGACTAAAACTGTCCAAAAATGTATAAATTTGGGGCCAATCTGTAGAAATAGAGGACAAAATGAATTCAGCTTAGTATGAGCTGTGACTGCTCATGCAGTGTGTGTGTAACAGATGACTGAATTAACGTGTGTGGCATCATATTTTTTTCTGGCAGGTTATTTGGAAGAAATCCATCTCCCTGAAGTCATCATTTTAAATGTATTTACCATAAAACCTTGCTGTTCTTATTACACGGCCTTAGTCTTTAAAAGAAATTGTCACCATAATAAGATGATAATAATTTGCTATAAGCTACATGTTAAATAAATCATTTTGCAGCTGCAATATTGGCAGCTAAGATGGTGTAGCTAACAGCACTCCATATTTTTAATACAGCAATGTCTACATTTAATACAGCAGAGCTGTTGCCAGTTGATCTTACTATTTTGACATCATATACAAAATGTGAAAGTGCTTCTCAGATGAGAACTGTACGCCCACTGCTGTAGAAATGATTAGGCTTTTTAATTAAAGAGATATTTGGATGCTGCAGTTTGTTTGTTTTTTAAGTGAAATGGCAAATGAATGGCACTCAGGGTCTTTTTCAGGGGATCATTTGCAAACATAGGTGTTGGTGAATGAAGTCTCCAAAGCAGCTTTCCAAGGGGCTGCTCTCTGACTTCTGCCTTTCCTCTCTTCTTCCAGCTGAAGGTGGTCAGAGCAGCAGCCAGTTCCAGGGGAGGCCGTCCGAAGTCTGGTCCCAGTGGCAGAGCCAGCATCACAACCAGCAGAGCGGAGACCAGCACTCACACCCACAGCCCAGCCAGACCGAGGTGTTCCAGGTGAGCAGAGCCCAGTGAGCCCTTAATCCCTCTGTCACTGCTGGTTCAGATAACTGTGGCTGTCAGTGAGCTGGGATGCTAGCAGGGCTTCATGCAGTTACCTGTTACTGTGTGCTGCTGTGGGTTTGTGTTGCTTGTGCCTGCTGTTAGCTGGAACTGACTGCTAAGTAACAACTAAAGCTGTTTTTCTGTTGTATTTTAAGTTGGTTACAACACTGGTTTCCCTGTACCTGGGGTGTGTGTATTTTGCAGGGAAGCCATGAAATGGTGACAGTGTCTTTCTTACATTGTTGCTGACCTCTAAAATCCCAGTCAAGTCCAATTAAACTTCATTTCAATTCTCTTTGATAGTTCAAACAGGAAAGGAGTGTGATATTGCATAGATAGTGTCCAGTAATTTTTTGAAGCTAAATCTAGTCAGATATCAGATAGCTGGTAGATAATCCTCTTCACCTACCTGATTTTGTTACATCAAGTACAATTTTGGGCCATCACTATAGGTGGAGTGAGTCTTAACAAGTTAATAAGTTCTTGTCCTTGTATAACTTGTTTTTAATTTAGATGGAGACAGTTTGCAACAAAACAATGGAGGTAAATGCAGAAAAGACAGCTCAAGGCCCAAGTAAGGTTTTGATGTGGGGCACCTGATTATCTTTTAAACAGTAAATTTCCCTGCAAGACTGGGCTTGTGCTCAGTTGCTCTCAGGAGCAGTGCAGAAGAGGCATTAGCCTGAAAATGTTCCTGTGTGAAAGCAACGGTTCATTCACACAAACAAATAACATCACTACACCTAGAATACCTGTCTGCGTGCCATGTGGCCCAGACAAGATAAATCTGTTGTATCTCTCCCTAAGCAAAGTTTAATCACTTTGCATGTACTTTAAACCAAAAGCATCTTCAGGGTGATTTCAGTGAGCTGATGGCAGCAGAATTCAATGGCCTGCAGAGACACAGGGCTCCCTCCAGGCACTGTCTTGTGTCTAAAACAAATGCTGTATCCCAGCAAATATTTTATGAAATTATGGCAAAGGAGCGCCAAGGATTAAATGGGAAAAAGGAAGAATTGGATTCACTTGAAAGGCCTTCAAGAAGTTGCTGGTGCTGTTTGTGCCTGAAGCCAGCCCTAGGTTAGGTGGACGTGAGGAGAGAGGCAAACTCGGAAGAGGAGCCATCCTGCCAGTCTGTAACAGGAGACGTTGCCTCAAAGGCCCCAGCAGCAGAAATGCCTTGGAGAGGACGGGAATTGAAACAGGTGGGGGCAGACAGGGCTTCCCATTGTCTGGGGAGGAATGTGGGGAGAGGTAAAGGCTGACACTGGCAGCTTGGAAGCTGCCAGTTCTGCCCACTGCCTTGTTTTTCACCGCTGGCAGCAATGCTACTGAGAGCTTGGATGGATTTTCATCTTCCCTGTTTTTGGGGTGACTGCTCAGTACGCAGCTGTTCTCAGCAGTTATTCCTTCAAAGAGCAGATCTTGTGCGTTTTCTCTGTTTGCTCTTTGGATTTTGTTTTATTGTAAGGATAATGATCCATCCATGGCGAAACTTGGCTTTACAGTAAGAGCTTATTATTGTTAGGACTGACAGGAAAAGCAAGTGTAAACTCTTAGTTTTCTCAGCAAGAGATGTCTTTTCCCTGTGGCTTCAGTCTCCAGCTGAGAGGAAAGGTTTAGTATTTTTGAAGCCTCCTGTGGGGAACTCACTTGGCTCAAGACACGTGGGAGCAATTACCATGAAATCCCATTTCTTCTCAGAAGTTTCCACCATTTCCTGTGCCATTGAAAGCACACGAAGGCTGCTTTGGGCAGCTTGTCAGGCAGGGTGGGTGTGCAGGCTTCAGTGTCCCTCAGAGCAGCAGTACATTCACTTACAGAGCATGCGTTCCCACCACCGTGCTGACATAGCAGGAATTCTTGTTGGTAGGGTGCAGGAGTGTCAGAGATACTGAATACTGCTCACCCAGTGCCGCCCTCAGTGAAGCTGGACAGTTTCCTTCTCTCCATGTGTAACTGCCCAGTACAATGGGAATTGTTTCAGCCTGTGAAGGAGTATTATGGGACGGCTCAACTGTGGTTTACTCAGAGGAGCAATCTAAAGCTGACGTCCCACATCCTGTTCAGAAAGCTCTGGCAAAACATAAGCAGCACGTAAACCTTAGCCCAGTACCCTGCACAGGTCCGTTCTCTCCTTATTTACCTAACCTTTTGCTTTTTCTGGTTCTACAGAATGAAAGAATGAACAGGAAACAGTTTGTGTCTGGATAACATGTTAGAAAGTGACACATCACTTTGATTTTTCCTTATCATGCAGGACATGCTGCCGATGCCGGGGGATCCAACGCAGGGTACTGGCAACTACAACATAGAAGATTTTGCTGATCTGGGCATGTTTCCACCATTTTCTGAATAGCTTGTGAAGCAGAAATGGAAGCTCTTCTTCAAGGCCATCTCAGTATATTTTTGGCTCTGCTTTTTCTGTGTTGCATTTCTGTAGAAGCTACTAAACCAGAAGATGCTCATATTTCAGATAGTGGTGTAGGGCTTGCTCTCTCCTCCACGGGCTGCGTTAGTGCCGACAGAGGAGCTCCAGCTCTTGGTAGTGTTCATTGACAGCTCCGTTATATTTCTTTTTTATTTTATTGTCATCTACCTCAGAGATGAAAAACTTTGTTTGATTAAAAAAAAAAAAAGATATATATCTCTGAGTCTTAAATATTTGAATGTGAATGATACCTAATACTTCCTTTGAATGGTAATTTTTAAATAGATCTCGCAGTAACAAAGACTAACAGAGAAAAGGTAAGGTGGTGTGTTATTACAGTGCCTACCACTCAATTTCGATGCCTTGCTTTAAGCCTAGGTTTCTGGAAGCAGACAGAGTATTCTGTTTTCTTTCATTCTTGTAGTTTTTAGTTCACTTTGAATGTGAGATTAAGCAACATAATGTAGGCCTCTCTCACCAGAAGATTCAGCTCCACCTTTTCTAACTTAAATTTGAATGTGTGTACATTTTGGTACTTTCTGTATATCTTGTGATGTATGAAGTGATTTCCTGTACTGGTTTCTTTTGCATTTTAATAGGGTCTATTCTGGAGTGTACTGAGAGGGCTTGATAATACGTGGAGGCTTTAGATACTGCAGGAGCCTCCATCACTTCACATAGTGTTCTTACTTTTAATTCAGGTGGTTATCTGTTCAGAACAAGCATTTACTTACAGAAGCTATTAGTCTGTTTTTGCACTGAATTGAGGCCTATGTAACTCTACACATTTCTCACTGGCTGCTTTAACTTTGATTGTTCTTGCTTTCCCAAAAATACTCCCTCATAAAAATAACTGTAAGCCCATCAAGATTGCAGTTTCTGTATTAGCTGCATTTCCTTTCTGTGAAGTACTTTTTATACTGTGAAACCTCACGTTTTAGCAGTGCAAGGTGGTGGCCTATTACAGTGAAATCATTCAGGCTCATTTGCTGTAAGCAGTGAGATGGTTTTGTAGCATACACTTTTTTAGAGTTGGTAATGGTAATGGATATCAGTTGGACTCTTGTCCACTGTGTACACAGTGATAACTTGAATTTTTGCTTGGATTCCCAAGCAGTCATTTCTGTTAAACCCTGTTAACCCTTTTCTGTTAAACACTGGGTTTTCACCTTACAAAGTGTTTCGAGTACTGGCTATTCTGAATGCTGTGTGCTTTTGCACAGAGGTAAGTTCATCAGTCTTCCTTCAGAGCTAGTCATCTACCATATCCATTCATCAGAAATGTGGTAGCAAGTTTTTTATATGCTCTCATGCATATGATGATTTATAGGAGGTTGGGTTTGTAAGCTCAGCCTTTTTAATCATTTCTTTTGGGGTGGGAGAAGGCATTGCTCAGAAAGGACAAGGAGCCCAGAGTTCCTGCATGCAGGTTTTCTGCAAACTTTGAGGTTAGAAAGATTGGGAAGCTTCCCAGAGCCTTTGCATATTGAGGATCAATCATGGACCTTGAAACAGGAACCCCCATCTAGATCCCAGTATTCACAGCCCCACATCTAGATCCTAATGTTCACAGCAATTCATAGACTTCACAGCACTACGGTTTAGCTTTTCTAGCTCCTGTTGAGTCATGGGCTGTGTTCCAATGGAAAGGACCACATACATTACTGTAGTCCATGTTGCCAGGATAACATCTTGGAAAAGCAGGCAGGCCCCTGTCCTGCAGTTTGCCCTGGCATCATGCTGAAAGGCAGTGCAGGCTGCCAGGCCCGCAGTGGCACAGGGACCATGGGGTGTTTTTCCACCTTCCTTTGCTTCCCCAGACCTCAGGCAGAACAGCATGTAGTTTTCAGTATCCAGGAAGAGCCTTTTCTACTTTTTCTCTTGCCAAGTCTGGGACCAATCTCTTATCCTACGTGCAAGTGGGGCTAGAGACACTTTTTCTTAGGAAATTTTTTAATGTATCTAGATGCAGTGCTGCAGAGGCCTCAGATCTCCTGATCTGTACTTGCCTCACCAAAATCACACTGAAAACAAAAAATCATACCTCTTCTCTCCCAGAGATAGGGAAAGTACCTTCTTAGGTGAGCGAGCCATGCACTTACGCACAATTCATTTGAATACATGAATGTTAATTCTCTTGGAGCGTTCTCCCTTTCCAACCATCTCTGAATTACATAAACAAAGCTCTGCTGTCCTCAGAAATTCACTATTTCTGAAAAAGAAGCCTTGGTGCATTGCAGGCTGGGGGAAGGCAGGGTCAGCATCTGCATGCTTTGGTAGGGAGCAGCAGTCTGTAGAATGTGATCATAAGGGAGAGCAGCAGATGAGCAGTTTCTGTCTCTGTGCAGAAGATGCTGAAGATGATACATTTCAGTTCTAGAATTTTTTAAGAACCGTTAGTCTGTAAAGTGAAAAATGAATCAAAAATGCTCTGTTTCCTTTTACCTGACAGACTGTTCTGAGCGTATTTATAATTCATTCTGAATTCAATCTACAATTAAGATGTATGCAGTTGTCTTTATCCTAATATCAGCAGTGATGACTTCATCCTAGAATCACAGAATAGTTTGGGTTGGGAGGGACCTCAAATATCACCCAGCTCCCACCTCCCCACCATGGGTTGGATGCCACCAGCAGGTCAGGCTGCCCAAGGCCCCATCCAGCCTGGCTTTGGGCACCCACAGCTCTGGGCTGCCCCACTACCCTCTGAGTAAAGCATTTATTCCCGTCTAATGTAAATTTCCCCTCTTTTAGTTTAAAGCCATTCCCACTTGTCCTCTCTCAAAAAAATTTGACTGTGCAGTTAAAAATGCACTGTGAGCAGAATTTCAAGCACATTTTCCCTTCTTTTATTTGCTGTGTTTTTCTTTTTTCCATACAGTGACATGCCAGTGTGCCTGAGGCACCAGGGCACGAGCAGCTGCTTCTCATCTGGTAGCCCCCCACCTTTCTGTTTGGGAAAGGGGATGGCTGCTCCATTGAGGTGCAGATGGCTCCAGGTTGGGGCTTTCCCTGCAAGCCGTGGTCATCCATCCCCCTGCTTTCTTCACCTTTCCGCCCTTCCTTACCACTGCCTTCCTTGCCACACACAGATGGGGAGGTGTGGGCAGCCTTTTCCAGCGAGAAGGGAGCTTAGCGAGCTTCAGGTTCAGCAGCTCTGTGCTTCTAGCCAAGTGACTGAGGTTCAGCATCCACAGTGTCAGTGTCAGCTGCTCTGCAAAGCCCCATCCCAGCTCTTGTGGCAGAACGCGCCGCGCAGGCTGAGCCGTGCCACATCTTTTTGTCTCGTGTTCGGCTGCTAAAGCAACTTCTTTTATAATATAGCTGGCATTGTAAAGTGCATTTGGAATGCTGACGTCCTTCCTGTGTGCCATTGGTGTATCTTTGCTGGTGCTTTGGCTGCCAGTCTCTAGAATTTCCCAAGTGGTGGCTTTCTTGTTTCTTTTGTGTGCTCATTGCTAAGCTGCAAATAAAGCTGTGATTTCTGATCAAACTGTGTTGCAGACACAGTGTTTCTCAAAACCGAATCTGCTGATATTTAAACTGCAAATAGTGTCTGGGTGAGCTGTTTCCACAAGTGGGCGTGTAGACCAAGATTTTAGATGCTAAAATATTTACATTCCTTAGTTCGAACAAGCTGACCTGTTTAACGAGAGGGACTCCATCACATTCCTTGTTAGGAGCACTACTGGCAGTACCTACGGTTATGCTTTAACCAGGCAGTTCCATTTGTAGCTTTGTTGCCTTTTTTGTTGTTGTTGTTCAAGTACAGTATGAAACTGTAAATACTTGTTGCAGCACTGCCTTTCTAACTCTTACTTACTTTTGGCACAGTGTTAAATAGTGTTGGATTTACCCAATTGCTATGACATATATTTTTATACATAGGTGTACTCTTTTCTCGAGAATAACAACAGCCATTTTGTCATCAATGCCTTACCAGTGTCATACTGCTGTTGCTCTTTGTTTGCAAGGTATTGGGTGGACTAATTTCTAGTTGAGATATTTTCACTTTTCCTGGCAGTGCTCATTTGGGATCCAGGTGATTTTTGCCAGTTCCATTTTTTGCAGTTGTAAGCTGTGAGAAGAGGAGAATGTGAGCTTTGTGTTCTTCCTGTTAATGGAGCAAATGAAAGGTGATGGCACCTAATTGTCTCTAGAAGGTTGGTCTTTTCCTGCTCTAAGCCAGAGTGCGTTTCATGGAACTGATGACTGTGGGCACTGATTACTTTGTGTAGATTAATGGTCTTTAAAAAAATAATTAAAAAAAAAAATTAAAAAAAAAAAAAAGAAAAAAAAAGAAACCTCCAAAAATGGACTTCTGTCATTGTTAGGCACTTGGTTACTTATCTGTTTAAACTCTTCATATGGATGTGAAATTGTGCCGTGGATAAAGTGTATTTTGTACTTCTGAATGTTCTATATTTATGACTAACAAGTACAGAATCAGTTGTGTGTACGTATAACTAATAACTGCCTTTTTAAATTTCATTAAAATAAAAAGGTCACGAGCTGTTGTTAATTCCTGTCTTTTTGTAAATGGGTACAATATGCTGTTGGGAATCGTGGAGTGGGAGGTAATCCTGAATGATGCCAACAATCAGGCACTGGGCTTTTCTTTGCAATCTGTTTGTATGCTGCATGGTTTGGGTGGGAAGGTCCCTTTTATCTTCTTCATTTGTACAGAGGCTGTCCAGCGGGAGAAAAATGTTGGTTTGAGACATCAACTTTTGAAAGAGGTTCCAGAAAAGCATTAATTAAGAGCCCTGTTCTGCTGATGGTGTTGAGGTGTATGATTTGGGATCTGTATTGTAGAGCGCTTCGTTAGAGCACAATTGGTTTAGAATTGATTCATAGTCTGTGGCAATTTTTATTCCCTCTCTCGGGTGACAGCACAGTGCTTTCTTTGTCCACCTTTTGGTCTCATTATTCAAGTTGAAAAATGCTCTCATCCTTCCCACAAACATCCTGGCGACCTTTCCAGACTTTCTTATATAAAGTGCATTTGCCTTTCACAGTGGTTCTTCATTGTATTTATACTGTATTTCTTTGTCTGCTTTGATACATTCCGAGCAGGATTTACCTCGCTAATAAATCCAAAAAGTTGATGTCCGGACCTCCGCAGGGAGCTTAAGATGCTCCAGGGCATGCATTCCTGCTGCAGGGTAGGTGGTGTTTTCACAGCCCACGCACCATTTTAAGGGCTCTGGCCCTTGTTGGGACCCCTGTGGGAAACCCACAGTCAAAGCAGGGCACTGGGATGTCCTTCATCAGCTGCAGGCCCAGCCCCACCTGCTCTGCAGGCTCCACTGGGTAAGTGCTCGTCCCTAGGAGACGTGTTGGTCTGCGGTGATGAGGACAGAGATGGTGAGGGTTTGTTATTGTGGCAGTTGTTTGGTGCTTTTTGTTGAATTTTGATAGGCTCTTAGTTGCTTTTGCGAGGACATTATGGAAGTAGAAGGGAGCACACAGAACAGAGGAGGTGAAGGAGCACCAGGCAGTGGTGCGGCTGGGCTGTGGTGGGATCCCTCCTCGTCCTCTCAGATTGATGGCCATTAACCTGTACTCCCAGGTACTCAACCAAGCGTACTTTTAGGCAACGCGGTGACGACTGGCTGTGGAGTTGCTGGGGGTATTAGTTTTGGTGTGGAATCTGGGTCTGGAGATGCAGATATGGAAGGGAGCCAGATACGCAGTGATAACTGCTATAGCTCAGCATGGTGGGACACCATCCACATGTAAAGGCTGGCGGCAGGAAAGAAATACAGTTGATGTATCCCTACACTTGCCATATTTGGCTCTGTAGTCTGGCGTTAATGACTCATAATAACGGCTTAAGTCTTCATTATGATGATAAAAGTATATTTTTTCCTAATTTTTCCATGGGAGCTAATTCTTAGCAACATTTCCATCAATATATCATCATAGTTCAGGATGTATTACTCATTTCATTTTCCTAATTTCTCTCCAAGTTGGATATAACAGGGACAGATACAGAGTTCTTCCATCCTTTTTCACCAAGGTTTGGCAGATTCCTGCTTGGCAATCCTTGGCAGCATCTTTCTTCAAATTTCTTGTTCTGCCCCACAGAAAATGAAATAACTTGAACTGCATTAATGGATTTGGGATCATGTCCAAAGGTTGCTAGGGCATCTTTTCATTAGCTCTGGAAAAAAATTATCTTCTAATTATAGACTGGCACTAAATACTAATACACAAAATATGTCATTTGGGACCCAGCTGAAAATAATGTCATCTGAAGGGTCACACATGGAAGATGCACATGCAGCAGTGCTTAAGTGCAATTACCACAGCTCTTGCAGACAAAATTTAACAGCTGTACACACATTAATGCCATTACAGCTATGCAGGCACAGACACTGAGGGACAGAAGAGGGCCCCAGAGGTTGGATATTAGGAAGAATTTATTCTCAGAAAGAGTGGTGCTGCAGTGGCACAGCTGCCCAGGGAGGTGGTGGAGTCACCATCTCTGGAGGTGTTCCAGAACCATGGGGATGTGACAGTGAGGGATGTGGTGAGCATGGGGGGCGGGGGGGGAGGTTGAGCTGGGTGATCTTTGTGGTCTTTTCCAACTTTTCCACCTTTTATGATTCTGTAATAACAAGGAGAGCTGCCTGAGATACCCCGGGCTGGGCTGTGGGCACGAGGAAAGATGGAAGGATGGAAGCTATGCAGCCCTATAGCCAGAAGGGTACAGCAGTGTCAAAAACTTGAAGAACTGGTAGTTTGTGAATATATACTGATGTGTTTTACTGTCTCTTAAAAAATGTTTGCTGTTGTTGGAAAGGAGAAAGGATATTCATTGAAATTAATTAAATTCCCATGAAACATTTAATTATTGAGAGCCTGTAAAGTGTTTAAAACAGCGCAGTTCCTACAAGACATACTGGTGCCCACTGCACAGAGATGCTTCATCTCTGGGATTTGGAATTGGGATTTGGAACTGAAGGTTATTTAGATTCTTAACATATTTTTAGTGACCCCCGTTATTTAAGGTCAGAGACCTCAGCAGGGAGTCAATGGAAGTTGTCACTTTAATCATTTTAGTTCTAAAGATTCATCAAAGTTGATGCAAATTGACCTAAATTTCCAGATCTTGCTGAGGGAGCTGCCAGGGCTGACCTGGATACATTGCCTGATAATGAAATGCTGTAGCAAACCCACGGAAGCAAGTGTCGATGATATAAATAAGGCCACTAAGAGATGAAAGCCCTATGGGGTAAATGGTGATGCAGATCAATGCAGATACGCAACACCTCAGTGCAGACTGAACGCCCACTCTGCTCCAGCAACAGATTTCCCTTTCCCCGTGCACAACTGTGTCACTGCAGGATGGGAGAGTGCGTTTGTGCACTGGTGTTAATAAGGTGTCAAGAGAAATGTACTCTTGTAAAATCAACTAAGACTTCACTATCGAGAAAGAACTTCATTAGAGAGATGGGAATATCAGACAGTGGGTCCCCGTTTTGCTCTCGTTTTTGTGCTTTTTGCCATCAGGATGTTTCGCAGCCATTTAAAACTCTGGAGCTGAACTCCCAGCAACAAGTCCTGTAATAACTCCTGTTTTCCAGGGGTTTCTAAAATTGGGCTAAAGATACCCTGAAGGCTCACATTTCGTTGCTGTTAAGGTCTGCTATTCAGAGGAGAGCAATCTCTCTCTCCCTCTCTCTCTCAGAAAGAAAATAAAAGGTTTCAGTTTCTTCTCATGAAGAGATCGTGCACTAAAAATGCTATTTGTTGGAGTTTTTAGAACCTTTTCCATCACCAATGAAATGAGCCAAGTGCTGCTGTTGGCAGTGGTGGTGGTGGGGTGCTCTGACTGCTGAATGGCACGGCTGCAGCCAGAGGCATCAGGAAGTGCCCCTATGGAAAATAGTTGGAATAACTTCTTTGCCTGGGCAGCCTGTGTGGTGCGGGGGCTGCAAAGGGCTCCAGCTGCGCCTGACATCAGCTGCACAGTGCCTTGGTGATGGACAAGGACTGGAGGTGTCCTCTGCTTTCCTGGGAGGTGGAAGAGACGGCCTCTGCGGTCCCAGTGCCTCCTTTTGGATTTGGTAGGGTCAGCTCCAGCCCTCAGCACGGAGCCAGAGAAGGCACCAAACCCTGATGTGGTCACCAGTCCAAATCAGTGAGAGGCCTCCCCAGCAAATGGAACATACATGGCCGGGAGACTCTGCAGCCTCCTCCACATGCCTCAGCGTGTCCTTTTCCCATATCCTGAAGAAGCCCCAGCAGTGCTCACTAACACACTGCCCAGTCAGGTTTTATGCCGCCCTGCTGTTCCCACACCCATCCTCCTTTGCAGACATTTGCCTTCCAAAGAGCAGAGCAGTTCTCTGGTATGACTCAAGGTGTTGACAAAAATCCCCTCGAGCTGCTGACAAAGCCCCAGAGATGCAGTCTATCAGCAAGGCAGTTCCCTCAGCTTTGCAAGCAGCTTTTCCTTTTTATTACAAGCCTCGAGAAACTGAGATTGGGAAAAAAGGAACCGGAATGAAGAAACAAAATACCTGTTGCCTGATTGGAGATGGTTTTTTTGCTGGATGATTTCTGGTTTTCCACCAATAAAACCTTTATTAAGGCAGTGAGCAGACATAACAACACAGGGAGAAGTAAACAAGGATGTGTTTAATGGGTAAGATCACAGTTTCACTGTCATGTACAATATTGTCCTGTAGGATTATTTCCGTCTTCACCACCCAGAAGCTATGTGGATTTGGGTATGGATTTGGTTTGCGTGTGGTTTCTGTGTTTAATGGGAAGTCTACTTGGTAATCTCGGTGCACAAGTGTCCTGAATGGAGTGCCTGAGTCTGACTGCCATAGCAGGGGCTGCACTGCTAAGAAGAGGCTGTGGAATCAGCGTGTGGCCCTAATTAGGTATAAATGTTGGTTTCATTTGATTTTTAACTGAGCTAGAGCCAATCATTTTATGCTATTTATAATCCCACTGCCACGCAATCTTCTGTGCAGGGGCAGTGTCTGATACCTTCCTCAGCTTTTTGGAAATCTGTAGGTTCATAGGCTAGAAGAGAAGTTCCTTGTTTGCTTTTTCACTTCACCAAGGATGCAGAAAGCTGATGTGATCTTACCAAGAAGGCTCGACTTCCTTCACTGCTGGGAGAAGTGAGCAGTGGCAGTGCTGCGCTTACAGCTGCTCTCAGTTCTGAGCAGAAGGACTTCCACAAGAGCAGTCCAAGGCATCACTTCTGATACAGACTGCCTAACCAACCCCATAGGGGGTGAAGATGGGAGAAGGTCCTTTTTGGAGTGTTTTTGTCACTGTGTACGTCGGGATCCCAGTCCTCTCCTGCCCTGGGATAATGCATTGATCATGCTGCTGCAAGGTGATCGTTACCGCTGCTTGTTAGCGATTGGGATGCTGGCAGGCACAGGGGTTAAATGGCTCTGTGCACCAAAGCAAATCACTGGTGACCCAAAATTACGACGTGGGAGTTCCTGACTCCTTGGCCATGCTCGTTCCACAAGACCACGCTGCCTC